GTGTTAATCATAAAGCTCTTATTGTTGAATAAAAAAAGAAAGAAAAAAGCTGATTGCTTTTTTTTTTTTAAAGAACCCCCTCCCCAGTTGTGAGTAACTGTTACGCCTCGCCTGAGGCACATGCACACCTTCATGCCCAAAAGAGACTAATTACAATCGCTTTAAATGCATGGCTCCTTGTGATCAGTAATGCAGCATATGGCGGTGTCCGTGTGTTTGTGTGTTTTTTTTTTAAGAAATTGAATTAAAGGCAGCGGGATGAAAGCGCAACACGTTAGCTGATGGGACGGGTGAGCCTCGCCGCCACGTGGGCCGGCGCTCTGGGCACGTGCTTTGTCTCTTCGGAGACCGAAGGAGAGTAGAGTCAGCTCGCAGGGGGGATCCACGTGGCACTTAGAAGGTGACAGAGGGCGCCGGGAGACTCCGCGTGGCACGTCCCAACAGCGGCGGGGGTCTAAGCGTTGGCGTCGCCGTTGACCCCGGCGGGGGGGGCGTCCTCGCCGCCGTCGTTGGGAATGTCGTAGATGGTGTCGTCGAGCACGTCGTAGGAGGTGTCGTTGGGCGCGTCGCCGCTGCTGTCGCTGGCCGTTTCCTGGGCGGGTTGGCCGGCCGGGCCCCCGCAGGCCGGCGGCTCTGGCGCGGCCCCGGCCGCCGCCGGCCGGCGCTGAGGCGAAGGGGAGGAGCCGCACGCCACGCAGACCAGGCAGGAGCAGTCCCACAGGCCCTGCGTCATGCTGGAGGAGAAGAGCCTCCGGCAGGGGTGGCAGAACTGGTAGAAGACCAGCATGAAGAAGATGGCGATGGCGTAGGCCACCAGCAGCTGCAGCACCAGCAGCGGCGCGCAGACGAGCTGGTACACGTCGGTTTTGTGGACGTACCACAGCAGCAGCAGCGAGGCGTTCTCCACGAAGCGCAGCATGTAGTAGACGGCCATGCGGTACCAGTTCTGGGACTTGTTGATGAGGTCGGGGTCGTTGAGCTTCACCTGCACGGCCGACCAGCAGAACATGTTGATGCCGGCGTAGAGGAAGGTCAGCAGACACAGGACGATGGTGGTGCCCACCCTGGTCAGCGTCTTCTCGATGTTCTCGGGGAAGGGACAGTGGCTTTGCCAGAACAGGATCCAGGGGTAGAGGAAGAAGACGAAGAAGTTGAGGAACACCACGGGCAGGACCCAGAGCTGCAGCACGGAGCTGAACAGGACCAGGACCACCACCCGGGTGGCGATCTCAAAACCTCTCCACAGGAAAATGCACAGGTAGGCCATGGGCTGGATGTCCACCTCATAGTCGTCGTACTTGATCTTAATGGCCAGGATGTTGCAGCGCAGAGCTCCGTACACGATGGACAGGAGGGAGATGACCATCAGCGTCCCTGGCACAGGAAAAGAGACAAAGATGTGGATAGTTCATCATTTTTGAAGGGCTGCCTGTTTTCTGGAACTGAGGAAGATCCGAAACCAGCCTCCTTCACATTTTCCGTCCTATTCTATTACTGTTTGCAGCGCGAGCTGTCCAGGTTTTGTTCAAATGTGTTTCTAATAGCACCAATTACAGAACAGGACAAAACATTAAAGCCCCATTGTTCAGTAGCTGTGCTCAGTCAGCTGTGCTTGCTGTCAGAACCAGTTGTGGGCCTTTTAACGCAAAAAATTGATCAAAACTAACAAAAGAGTGAATGAAAATTTGTTTGTGTTCAAAACTTGGTGCACTATCTCCCGCTGGGATATTTGGGCAAGGGAATTATAGCAACAAGCACATCCGGTCTGCTGGGCAAAACGTTTAATACTTTGGAGGCCATCCCTAGAGGGGCCGATTAATCCATACGCTTAACTGCAGCACAGACAACAGTGTATTTATAGCCCCTATTATTTTTGCCCTAATTTGAAGACCAGTTCTACCCTGTGTGAACAGAACCAAAATCTCTCTTAGCAATACTGACACCCACACACCCTCTATCTGGACCGGTCGGCAGAGAAAAAATCACCACTTTCCATCCCCAGTCTCAGAGAGAGAGGGTTACATAACACAGCCTGACTCATGAAACGGTCTCCCCTTATGTCCAATATGGCACCCGGCAGACCAGCTCCTCCTCTTCCTCACCTCTGCCGATGGACACGCCCCGCTGCAGGACGCAGATGTAGAGCTGCAGGGTGAGCTGGGGGGCCGATCCCAGGAAGGCCTGGATGACGGAGGTGCGGGCGAAGGCGGCCCTGTGCGTGAACAGCTTCCCCTCCGCCTGCCCCACCTGCCGCTCCACCTCCTCCGACTGACCCCCGCGGGGCATCTGCTTCTTGCGGGTGATGCTGACATAAGGCTCCTCCACGCGCCCCACGCTGCCGTATATGCAGAACGCCTCCAGACACCTGAAACAGCAGGCGGAAGCTCATCTCCGACCACTGGTCACTGCTCACACAACAGCACATTTTAACACGGCCGGAAACCGTAAGAGGAAAAAAAGCCGCATGAACTGTAAATGTTGTCCTCTGTCTAAAAGAGTGGACATCGTTCATTAGCTACAAAATATTACTCAAATCAGAAGGTTTTATAGTGTTGCTTTAGTTTTGATCCTTCCTTGTCTCAGGGCCTTTCTGGGAGATGTTTGTATATTTTGGGAGACCTCTGGAAAGTATCCCAGCCAGATGTTTCGACCATGTTGGGAACAAGACCAAAATACTTAGGACTCTTCTACTTGCAGCAGTTATTTATTTTCAACCTAGAGAGGTCAATAAATCCATTTTATCTGAGGACTTTGAGACTTAGAAGGGTTTATTTTAGTCCAAACTGCTTCACATTGGGTGACTTCCACTGCAGTGCACGGTCAGGGTCTAAAACCAGCAGGACATGCAGAGATGCAATTCTAAAATAGACTCTCAATCAATTAAAACTGTGATCAGTGGCAATGTGAAACAAGTGGAAGTCTCAGAACAAAGGGCCATAAACACAAACGTCCTCCCACAGGAAACCACATAGGAAAGGGTGGCCAGCCTATACCCGGCGGCCAAACTAAAACTCTCCTGTATTCTGGACCTGGTTGAGAGGCCAACGATCAGGCCAAAAATCCCACTGATCCATCTGAATCACAGCTTTCCAGACAATATATACACATTTCCAGTTCTTTTTTAACCAGATTAAAACCACTCAGGGTCTTCATATCTCCAAATACCACAATGCTTGTCAGGTTCAGGAGAGCAATAACAGTTTTTAACAAAAGCTTGTAATCATCAAAAAGAACAAAAAACCAGGCAAACAACTAACCAACTTTTCATTGGTTTAAAAGATGTATTTTTTCAATAAATTCAACTGAATGCTCAAGAAACCTGTGGATTACAATTCCTCCCTCTCATAAATTGGGATTAAAAGCAAAGGGAGGGATTCTCCAGCTTTAAAACATTGCTCTAACACTGTCCACTCTGTGGGCATTCTGTCTCTTGCAGCAGGATTTAACATCGTTATAGTTCCTGATCATGCAAACACTTTTTAAGGAGAATCCCCCATCAGCTTCTAAGAATGCCTCCCTCTGATGCATCTATTATCACTGAAAAACAACACTGCAACAAGTTGTCTCATGAGAGACTTCAAATATCTCAAATCCTTAGGAGACGATACACACTGAACTTTTCGCCCACATTGAAGATTAAACCAAACTTTAGTTTGGAATCAGCTGAAGACGAAACGATGCTCAACCTAATTGTAGAAAAAACGATTAATGAATGGAAGATTTACTTTTAAAAGGCCGCATGAGGATTGTGGGCAGTTAAAACAAGTCGACGATTGTTTTCAGGGCAACCAGCTACGTACGGCACAGACGATAAAGTTCCCAAAAGCGTTGTTTGGGTGGGAAGAGATAAGGAAGTGCTGCTACGCTGCCTGCAGCGGAGACAGACGTGCCGCTTTCGGCTCGTGTTGTCAGAGATAAGCAGGCAGCAGTGACATGTGCTATTCTTAGAGCCGCTCTTTGCTGAAGAAAGATGAGAGAGTCTGACAAGTAATCATTCCAGCACACACTAGAGGGGAAACGAGCAGTTTCAGGTCAGAGCCTGAGAGGATGCAGCTGGAGGATCGATGAGAGAGAGAGAGAGAAACAGAAAGGTCACCCAGTCATGAACACAACACCCCCTATTGATAAATAGGCTGTCAGGGACTTTAAAAAAAAAAGTTGAAACATATTCATATATATATTTATATTTCTCGAAACTTAAAAGACTAATGATTAATATCTGTAGAAACTGTGGAAGTGTGCTCTGCTGCAGACTGAATTGCACAAACAGAAGGGCGCTGTGTGACAAGCGATCAGAGAAAAAGTTAAGACCGTAGGCCTCAGGCCTAAGTGGGTTAAAATAACATCCGGAATGCTCAGTTTAATAGATTATAGCTACACAGAGTGGTAAAACTTAAAAAAACTTTGTAGATCAAACTAAGGAATAGTTCAAATAAGCTGGAAATAATTCTATACATTTTTACTTCATCTTGGGCCTATAGCAGAATATGAGGAGTAGAACTTTGAGAGGGCTGGATTTAATTCTGGAGCTGATTTTGGATTGGTGGGGAACAAACAGGAAAATGTGTCTCAAGACTGGTCCTCCTGCAGATCAATCAACATTCTCTCTATGCATCGGGGCAGCTCCTGCAATCAATTTTCATTACTGGTAACTCAGTTGATCATTCCCTAAATGAACTTACTCATGAGGGAAATCTCATCTTGCGAGTGAAGCTGCTTTCAAGCTGAAGTGGGACTGTAAGTGCCAACACAAGTGAGAAAAACAAAACAGAAAGCAAAAGTTTAAAAGGTTAAAAATTATTTGTACAATTCCACGAAACATGACCATAGTGGGAATAAAAGCAAAGGTCTAACTAAAAACATGAGACAAAAAGTGAAACTTCCACCCAAACTGGGAGCTGGCTCCAAATGAAGCATGAAAGAGGCTGAATACCAATTCAGGGTTATATAAAGAGGATTTTGGAAGTGCCTCTACACAAAAAGGATTCTGTTTATAGGACGAAAAGCAAAGAAAAATCAGCCAAACGTCACATAAGATGCGCTGAAATGAATCATTCACGATTTCTGTCCCACCGCAAATCATCTCAGCCCGTTTCTAGCTGCAGACAGAAACCGAGGGAAGTCCCACACAGGGTCTCCGGCTGTTTGCACAAATGATAACAGCTCTTGCATGTGTGTTGAGCAGGGAGGCTCTGTGAGCAGGATTAGGCTGGAGCTCCCACAGCTGAGCAGGACCTGTCAGACCAGGCCCGGGGGGGTCCAGGGCTCCCCCCCCCCCCCCCCACACTCTGGAGCAGCCCTGAGCTCCATAATGGGCATTTTGATGTCCTCTCAGACAGAGGACCCAGGCAGAAGTAAAACAGGCTCAGCGTTGGCCTGTGGGACGTGGATCAGAGTGGGAAAGGGGTTTAACTCAAAGCACTGCGCGTGGCGTCCGCGTGGAACATATCGATGAACTGGCAGCTGATGTATCGATCGTCTGTTTGCTTCCGATTTTAGTCACACAGACACACCGCATCGCGGCTTGTAAACAGCTCGTAAAAACAGCCGAGCACACAAAGGCCCAGAGTGGACGAAAACAGACAGCATGCGCGCAGCAGGCCGTGGACACACCGCACCTGTGGGCGGCCGGGGACGCGTCCACGCAGGATTAAAAACCACCCAAAAAACAAACAAACAGCCAAACGGACACATAAACATGCCACTGACCTGACCACGGGTCCGAGCTGCAGGATGTGCAGCAGCAGGACGAGCGGTCTGTCTCTGCTCAGGTCCCGGTGGATGAAGGTGAGGGTCAGCTGCACGAGCACGGAGGGGACGAGCGTGAAGAGGAGCGTGAGCCCCTGCCAGATCTGGTCCCCGGCGGAGCGGTACGTGGAGCTGAGGTACAGGGCTGCCGTGGTCTCGGCCGTGAACAAAGACACAGACACAAAGATGGAACTGGGGAGTCGCATCCTCCCCTCGCTCACTCGGCCGCGAGGGGGCCGCGGCGCGCTGCGTCGCTCCGGGGCCGCGGAGCCATAACGGGGACGCGGAACAGACGCGGGACGGGCCGGATCCGCGCTGGGTCGGAGGCACGCCGCCGCCGCCGCTGCTGCAGCTTCATCAGAGACGGGAGACGGGTGGGAGGCAGCAGGCAGGGGGGTGGGGGGGGGGGGGGGGGGGGGGGGGGGGGGCAGCAGCAGCCGGTCTGAAGAGTCCCCGGCAGAGGCTGCAGGGGGCGCGAGAGGGGCCCGTCCGTGCGCAGATGACGCCCTGCTGGCTGGGATTTATCATCCACACCGCTGTCCACACCCCCCGCGACCCCGGGGGGAACAAGCAGGACAGATAATGGATGGATGGATCATTTCCCAAACTAATGATCCTGGTTAACTGGGTTTGCAGGCGAAAAGTCAAAGCACTAAAATCACTGAATTCATCCCCGAAAAAGAACTTTCAATTATGACAAAATAGCTTCAACAAACCCCTGTGGAAATCCTTTTTTTTATTGATGATTATAATAAACTTGGAGGTGAAAAATCCCTTACACCCAATCAAATACTAACAATACACATAACAGACAGCATTTGTTCAGTCTGATTTATTCATGCAACTCTTTTAAATCCATCCTGATGACAGTCCACTGTCTGTGGTGTGGATATCACAAATATCCTAAGGGGTCAGTCTAGAAATATTTACATGACTTATCAAGCAAGTTTAAGACCCTCAAAGAGGCTAATAGTAGAAAGGCTTCTTTATACAGGGCCATGAACAAGCACAGGCCAATTTCCACTGAAATTGTGGTGAAGAAATAAAAAGCGTTCATTGAGCCATGCACGATTTCAATTATGCAGATGACACTCAGACCTACTGACAGCAGGACAAGACAGGCCTGTTGATTCATTGTGCCTCTGTATAGAACAGATCAGTGAATGGATGCAGAACAATTAGCTGCAGTTAAACTCAGACAGAACTGGAATCATTGTCTCTGGTCCTCAGAAACAAAGAGAAAGTGTTATCTTTCATCCTGAAAGTCTCTCTAGAACCTAATGATCAGGCTAGTTGGTTAAGGGTAATATTGGTCTCAGACATGAACTTTAGCAGCCACATAAAAACAATAATAGCAGAAGGTTCTTACATCTAAAAAAAAACGTATCCAGAATCAGAGGAATAGTGTCTAAACCACACTTAGGAAGCCTAATCCATGCATTTTGTCTCCAGTAGGTTAGACAACTATAACAGCCTGCTCACTGGGCTCTAAACCAGCTGAGTTTCCAAGCCTCCATATGTGACTGAATGTTTGAGCCTGGATTTCTGCACTGGGTCATCTGGTTTTGGGGATATGTTGTCTCTATGTGAATGACTATGCATACAGATTTTTCTTCTTCGTGGTTTTCAGCAAATAAATGTGTGCACATTTGTTTTATTTCCCCATACCTATCTAAAGCACTTTGAAAATTCTGTCTTAGAGGAGACATTGTAGAGGAAAAGAAAAAAACACGTGCAACCTCTTCCTTCTTTTGTTGAACACTTTATTTGTAATGAGAGATTGGTTGACATTGTGAGCAGGTTTGAAACACACACAGCTTAGAAATGCTCAGCAACAGGCACAGATAGCATAAGGGGGCTGCTTTGGTTAATGTTGTTTGCAGGGCCGTTTTTACCCAGCATGACCACCTCGTTAATAAACGCCACCCAAAGCATCCCCTGGTGTTCTTTTGACTCCAAGATCTGAATATAAGCACATTTAATCTCTTTTTTAAGGCCACATTATCACATTCCATCAAAGACATCCATCACTGACCATAATTCACATAACTGACTTACAGAAACATCTTGAACAAGACGATAAATGACTACATTTGATAAGTGACAACAGGTTTTGTAAATTTGTTTTTTGACTCACCACAAAGCCGCAGTCTTTTCTCTACATGGGGTAAAACGATCACGCCACAATTAAAAAGTTCCCAAAAAGCAGCTGAAATTATTATTAACAGCTGGTACACTGATACACGTGTCACCTACCGTCGAACAAGTTAACAACGCACAGAGCAAACACAAGTTTACTTGTAATCTTTACTCAATATCTATGATTCTGCAAGTCCAATATCAAAATGTATTTGTGAAATGCACAACCCTAATTCCACAAAAATTAGGACAATGAGTAAAGTGTAAACCAAATAGAATGTAAGGATGTAAGGAGTTCATGTTTTACTCACTACAGTGCACAGAAAACACATTACATGATGTTTCCATTAGAAGTACAGGATGAGCCCATCTACCATCTGATGGTTTTTAGACTGAAAGAAAATGCATGACACATTGTCAGCGAAAAGTGTTTTCTTATTGGAAATGTGGTTAGCTGCAAAGCAACTTTCTGTTTTAGACATTATCAAATACAATTTAAAAAATGACACAGAAAACAAAAGACTAGGATTTTATATCAGACCAAAAAAAAGAAGACAACACCCCTCTCCAAAAGGTCACATGACTGGTCTTGTCAGTTCTCAGATGTTTACAGACTTTTTTGTGATGTTTTGGATGTCAGAAACTTCAAGAGGAGCTGATATTATCATGAAACATTTGAAATTTCGTTTTGAAAATCTTTGTATTCTGTTTTGATTTTTTGGAATTATGATTGTATTAGTCTGGATCATGACAACATTCATTTGAGACATAACGCCTCTCGAGGCATAAACTCGCAGGTCTGCATTTGGTGAAGTCGAGCTGGTGTGGTGATATGAAACTTTAAAGGCATTTTGTGAGTCTAGTGTTTCCTCTTTTTTGTGTGTGTACATCTGTGTGCACGCGTGGTTGAATTCCATCTGCTTTGAGCTGTCGCATTAGTGACCTGAGAGCGGCATCTTAGAAGGATAAGCTGCGATTTCAACCACAGTACAGCTTGGAACAACTCCCAGTGCTTCAGGGAATGTTTTTTTTTTATATTCTGAAAGGCGTTTAGGAGATATTTACAGGAAAAGCAGCATAATGGATGTGGAGTCATTAAGTTAGTGCTGCTCCGAACACATTTGCTTCAAGTCTATATTCGGTTAAACCACCAAAACCTCAGTTCCTGTTTGCATTTCATGCACTGAAAGCTTTGACTGCATATATGTTATGTTCACACACATTTTACTTTACTTTAGTGATTACTTTAGTAACTTTTTGGAGTAATAGAAACCTTCATGCTATATTTATCAATAAATATCTCAGACCTATAAATCTAAATTAAACCCTTTAAAGTCTGATGACCCTCATTTCTCTGCCTTATATGACTACATTACACATCAGAATGGTGGTTTTACAGTAGGTGTCTGCACATTCACGTCAAAACACAACCATGTTTCCTCCATAAACACCCTCAGATTTTTCTTAACTGGAAACAAAAGCGTCACGACTTCTAGTCTGGTCACAGAATCCGAGGTGGTTCGACAGTGTCTATCAGGAATGTCTGAGGGAAGGGGGGGTGTCTGTTCACCTCTGAGAGCAGCAGGAACCCGGGTTCACTCACACAAAGACACTGAACAGAGGGAACTCTGACTGGTCCGGCTGCAGGAGGTCAACCAGGAAACAAACGGTGCCCGACAGGCCCTCAAACAGACTGCAGACGCTGGTGACGGAGTGAGAGCCTGTCTTAAACTCCTCAGTGAAGATGAACTCTGCAAACCTGCAGGGAAGAGAGATCTCTGCTCAGCCACAGGACACTCCAGATGAGCACACAGAGCTCATATTGTAAAAGGTACGCTGAGCAGCAGAGGTAGATTCTATTAGGTCTTTACCATAGCTTTAGGATCAGACTTTGTTCATGTATTGTTGAGGCAGTCTCTCCCAAATAGTAAAGTGTGTTGTTCTTTTTGTTCAGTTTCCCTCTCAAACATTTTGATGTCCTGACTGTTGCCAAGAGTCAAGAGCAACAGTTTCTAGGAGTCTGAGTCGATCAATGAACATTAATGACGGAAATGAAATATCCATTTTTATCTTAAAGTGTCTCTTGACTGGACAACTGTTTAGGATGAGATGTGATTTAACTGTTTTCGCTGAATCATTTAGTAGTCTGGATGCTTACAATTTTAGTATGAGAAGTTTTGGAACCAACTTCAAATCTAGGCTGCTTGAGATCTGCTGTACTTTTTAATGTACAATAAAAAAAAGTAGATCTGTCTGTCAGTGACTATGAAGAAAGTATTCAAAAGCCACATAATGTTATGGTGCTTTGAGCTAATCACTGTTAATGGAGACTGGCTATAACTTAAAAAAAAAAAGATTTTCTACCAGGAAAACAAAACAATAACTAAATGTTATCCTGAATACATAATTCAAAGTAATTTTTGACATTTTGAGGGTGAAACAACCCAATCAATCAAATTATCATTTGATTGATAAAATTGACTATTTTAAAAAAATTAGACTTTTGGTTATGTGTTGGGAAAGGCAGAAAATTTGGAACCCTTTGGACCTCAGTCCAATAGAAAACAAAAGATTTCTTGCCTTTGAGCGCGATAGATGTATTTTGAGTTGCCGGTGAGCCGATAAAGCAGGAGGAAGACGTAAGCACTTCCGGCAACTCCGTGACAAATCCCGGGTCCTTTCTTCAGCAGGCCCTTCTGCCACACCAGCTCCCCGCTGCGGATGCATGTGTCCAGATACTGAGGCTTCTTATTGATCAGGTAGGCCTTCGCAAAAAGGTACGCCACACCTGCACAAGTGGAGCGAGACAGGACTGTAACGCTGAGGTGCAGCGGTGCCGGAGCGGGGGGCAGAGTTCCGGAAAGAGCTGAGGGCGTACCCGGGGCTCCATGGCACCAGTGCACCAGCTCGTTCTCCCTCTCGATGATGGCCCCCAGCTCGGCGGGCCAGTTGCAGTTCTGCTCCTGGTTCATGAGGAAGTCCACGCTCTGCCACACCAGGTCCCTCTCCGGCCCGCTCAGCACATCCTGGTAGCTCAGCAGCATCTGCAGCACCGACGAGAGGCCGTGGGCGGCACCTGGCAGCAGCGGGGGCACAGAGGTGACACGCGCAACCACCCAAGCAGGCATGCAGGGACACACCATGCCGGTGCACACACACATACAGTACACACAGACAAAACCCAGGAGGTACGAGCACAAACATTCCCAGAGAAGAGCTTGCAAGGCTTGTTTCTGTCCCTTTCTTTTAGCTTATTCTGAACGGTTGCACGCTGTGCCTTTTTATATTACCTTTTTATATAATATATCACCTTTTTATATCATTAATAAAATCCTTTGATTAAAACTGTGGCGTTGTGCTGACTTTCCTGCAAAGATCTGATTAGGCTCCGCCCACTACAAATAAACAAAACAACACACTTCACTGGATGAGCAGATATAGGCCTCAGTGCTGGATGAACCATCCTCATGTGGACCTTTTTCCATTAAAGCATCAAGTAGTGAGCGTAAAACTACTTTGTTTGCAAAAACGACAGATGCTGGTGTTGACGTGCATATATATATATATATATATATATATAAATATATATATATATATATATATATATATATATGCAGATAATAGAAAAAAGACTTCTTTAGGTGGATTTCGAGGGCAAAGGCTGCTGTTTAACTCGTTCATTGCACTCAACCATTTGTCTTCAGTGGCAAAAGAGACCGGCACATAAAGCCCAAACGTGACGCATGCCCCTGTGATCCAAACCGCAAGAACCGTAAAAGCCACATACATTGCAAAGTTTCCTCCATAAGGCGAGACAAAGTGATCTGAGATGGATGTGTTCCTTTCTGGACAGGCAAGCATGCAGAGCCCGGACAGGCAAGTGTTCATCAAACATTCATCAAACATTCAGACATCTCCAGAGTGCTATCCAGTTATCCAGTGGGCAGCATCCATGCAGAGGTGGTCAGCAGGGCTGTGCTTACTATGAACTCTGTGTTGGTCAGAAAGTTACAGGGGATCACGGATGGTTGTCTTCATCCGGTGCAGTCAAGGAAAGGACAGTTAGCTTCACACATTTTAAGACACACTTACTTGATAAGAGAAATCCCCTCTCTGGTCAAAACAGCTGCCGCTTAAAAGCTTTAATGCTGGCAGCCATCGAGTCACAAAGGGACCTGTTGCTCTGGCAGAACTGACTGCAGAAATCTGGTGCTCTTACCGAGGTACTCGGTTCCATAATAGGAGTACATAAGTGGGAAAGGCTTTCTCTTCCTCCTGGCATACTGTTTCCCCGACTCGATGATGGCCTGGCAAATGGATTTGATTTGATCTTTGCTCAGAATCTGCAGAATCAAAGGCAAACTGGTGTTATCTTCAGTGCAGACATCAACACGAATAAATTCTATCGATGTTTTACATTTTAAGGCTGCACAGCAACCTTACCATCATCTCATTTTGACTGGGTGATTTGGGTGATTTAAACTCTGCCCAGTATAAAGTTACAGTAGGTGAAGATATGGTACAAATCACTGTGTAAATCAAACTAACCAGGAAGTAGCAAAAGCAAGTTATGTGCCCATCACTGACTAAATGTAATTATAAGTAAAAAAAATACGTTCATCATGTACAGATGTAATAAATTACAAAACATTAGAGTGGCCAACAACCACAGTGGTTATGATCAGATTTTAGCCATCATTGATCGGCATACGTTTTGTGGGTAATATGAGCTGATCACGATATTGTGTTGCAATCCCGAAAAAGAAGAGAAAAACAAAGGTCACCTGAAAGCATCACTTCAGGCCTTGTGATTAAATGGGATTTCAACAGATAATAGTTGGATAATCCACAAAATCTTATCTGGAGCCAGGCCGAGTTATGTCAGTGTTTACTCACAGCAAACTAATCTGGAAAAGCATCATAGATCATTGAAACCATTCTACAACTGTGCCCATCCAATCTGTCTAAAGGCCAATCACTCATCCAAAACGAGGGCACCTCTAAACGTCATTTGAGCCCAGGTGTTTTAGTCTTTTATAAGGCAGGCTCACCTCTATGCCCAGCTTCTGTTTGAGGACCAGGGCAGCGCACAGGTAGCCGGCCCGCCCCACGAACAGCTCATCCGAGCCGCACTCCAGGAAGCTGATGGGCGCGCACACCTCCCACAGGTTCCGGAACTTGGTCAGCGGCTTGACGAAATCCGCCAGACCCATGGCTTTGTATATCAGGGCGGCAACCGCGTAGATGCCCGCCCCGCCCAGCAGGAAAGCCGCGCGCGTGTTTCCGTCCGGCTCCGCGTCCGCCCAGCGGACCGACGCGTCCGCGATCCGCTTCGCGCTCCTCAGGTAGAGCCCCCGCTGCGCGCACAGCGCCGGGCACTCGCTGGCGTGGTACAGCATGTAGGCCACCCCGGCCGGCCCGTCGTACAGCCCCCCGTCACAGTCGCTCAGGTCGACGGGGACCTTCTGGAGGATTCTCTCGATGGTGGAGACGATGGCTGGAACGACGGCCTCGGCGGTCTGGCCCGGCAGCAGCGCGCCTCTGTAGTCCGAGAAGCGGTTGGCGAAGCAGCGGGGGTTTTCCATCACCGGACAGGGGTAGGGGGGGGGGGCAGACCGAACAGAGCAGAGAAACAAGAGCAGATCTGAGAGCGCTGCTCAGGATGTCTCAGGATGAGGGATGCAGAACATCAGCCAACAGCTGATTGGATGTGCGCGGTGATGGACCAGCCGCCTATTGGCTGATGGGGGCAGCAGCTTCTCAGCCGAGCCGCAGCGTGACTGAGCCAGAGATCAGATGGGTGGCCGAACGGGGCTTAACTGAACTGTTCCTAAAGGAATATAATTTTTTATACTTAAAAGAAGCACGTCGACATCCTAACCAGCAGCGATCAAATGATTGATTTAAAACAATCTCATAGGATACTGACAATTGCAACTCATTGAGACTAAATCCACAAACTGTAACTACTTAGTTAAAGAAATGAACCTGTGAGGCATCACTGTCATGCTCAATCTTTTGCTTTTAGAATCTGCTGTTTTCAATAAAGATATAAAGAATTTTTCAAATATCATTTTGTTGTTTGAATATATGGAATACCTAAAGTCACATTAATAGGTAATGATTTACTAAAAGTTTTGAAAAGTGAAATGTTTCAAAAGATTTCTTCACCAGTACAAATTGTTTTGCTTGCTTTTGGTAGCTACAGCAACGTGATTTAAATTTAAACTAAGACATAGAATACCAAACGTTTTGCAAACGTATATTACTGAGATTTTTGTAGTTGTGGCCTCTTTTAATTTTATTTCCAGCCTCTCATCCCACACTACTGTGACCTGTGGCTGTGATCATTTCCAAGTTTCCACCGCCAGGGGGCGACAAAAGGCCACGACCTGGACCGACTGCTGTCCATGGTGCTGTTTTTCTGGACTGAGGTTTGTCAAATGTTCTCTCTGGCTTAACTCAAATTTAGTCAAACTGTAACAGAAGCGACACAAAGCAGCTGCAAAGGCAGAATGGCTCCAAAAAAGTCTAATATGACTACGTTTGTTCCTGAGAAACAAGAAAATAAAAAATAAAAAAATGAAATAAAAGGAAAAATGCTATTCAAAAGAACACAGCCAATCACGAAAAGTAAAGCTAAAGACAAAATTACATAAAAGACAGACAGATGCTAAAAGTATTTGCATAAATACACAAAAAGGCGTTAAGGAAAGAAAAAATTAAAGCCCCCAAATCCCAAAACATCCATTCATCCATTTTCATCAATTCAAGGTCCCCTCCAGATGGCTCAGTAATATTTTGCTATCGTGCAGATAATTAGAAAATTTTAAATGACTATAATAAGATAAAGAATCCATTCAAAAGGAGGGTTACTGAACAACAGAAATGAAGGCCAATAAGAATGGCTTCTCAAGGCAATACAGAAAACTTTGCTGTTAGTTTATCTATTGAAGACACACTTATGTAATACTCTGGATGCTGTGTTTTTTTAAATGTTTTTTTTCCGAAAATTCTAGCATTCTTTATTTTTTAAACATTTGTTGTGATGCATATCCATGGTAACAAGGATGCTATCCGCATTGAATTGATTGATTAAGCTTACCTGTATCATGCCCAAAATCTAAATTAGTTGACGAGGAAACACCTACAGGGTAGAGAAGGAAAAAGGAAGACAGCAAAGAAGGAAAGAATTTAAACCATTCTATTATCGCTGGTGGTCCCCTGCCATGAGGAGTACCACTAAGGCACCATTGTTGTTTTCTCTGAGAAATGGGTGGATCAACAATTCTACCCTAACACCTTACCAATCAATTCTAAAAAACAAAGCTACAAAAACAACACTCCACTCCAGTCAACTCGTACTTTATCTACCCTTACAGCGGGGATTTAAGATTAAGACATACTTTCGCCATCTATAGATTACAAAACAGAATATAACAAAAAAAAATTAAATGACCAGACAAACACAGAAGGGTGATTTTTAGATGAGAGAAAGGTGTGGTAGGAAGTTAACTGGAATGTTGTTACTCCATCTTGGCAACAACTTTGCCTCTGACAGCTGTTGTTGGGTAATGCAGATTAACTCTCTCAGGACCATGAACAGGAATTTAGGAGCAGTACTTCAGCACCTGAAGTGCAGAAGTGATCTCCTCAGCCAGGATTACACCTGTTGGTTTTAACAAGCTCCATAATCCTCCTCCTTTCCTGTTCCAGCTCTCTCTCAGTCTGTCCTTAAATTCTTGAGTAAAGAGGTCTTGGATTTGCTCTTGCAGGGGGAAAAAAAAGGTCTCTAGGTTTCAAAAGCTCTTGTAACTGCTCCAGCAGGTTTAGTAACTCTCCCGTTGCCATGGTTATGCATCATAACAGATATGAAACACTCCAGGCTGGTGAGTCACCGGCACAGAATGGCATCATCCATTGTCAGTTGGTTTTTAAGTCATTTCATTTTTTAAAATAAATCTTTCTAAAGCCGCATCATAAATTCCATAACCATTTGTAACAGCAACGACATATCCTCTACAGGTGTCATTAAGTGGTATTGAACTGAAAAATCTCAGCAAAATGAAAGCACACTGCATTGTCCAACTTTTTGCTATGGAACATCAAACATTCAGAACGATAACAATTACTGCTGTTGTCATTACAGTGCTGTCCCTCTGTGTGCCATTTCCCACATGATCTTCATGGTTATCTGTATCAGGATTTTGATAGAGGATGCTTTGAACATTCAAATTTGAAACCAGCCTTTTTGTCCCCTTTTGAAAAGACAGGGATAAAGGAAGGAGGCTGAATGCCACAGTGATACGAAGCAAAGGTCACTTTATGAATACAAAACTAATTAACAAAACTAACAAAGAAATAGGAGTTGAGACGAAGCTTTTACTGAGTGAGTGAGTGAGTGAGCGAGTGAGTGAGTGAGTGAGCGAGTGAGTGAGTGAGTGAATGCTTGCCGTTTATGCAAAAGTACATTCAGCTCCTCTCAGAGCTCCAGTTGAAGTTATTACTGGAAATAGGCGGTGGAATCAGCATGGAGGCTGCAGCGTGTTGCTGTCTGTGGTTACAGATTAAATAAAAACTGATTCAAGTTGCTTTGAAGGCCATCTTCCCCCAGACTCACGCTCTGTACAAGGGTGAAATATGTTGAGAATATTGAATTGCCACAGCTACAGACATTTTGTTCTTGCCATGCAATTTCTGGTTAAAGTTCTCAGACGAGGACAACTGAAGAGTCCGGAAAATTAAAATGGTATAAGTCATGCTCAGAGGGTTATATTTTCCTTGGCCTTATCTGCTGCAGCGATATAAGAAAACTCAATTTGCATTTATATGAGAAAATGACTTGGGGCTCAACTAGTACCATCTGATGCCACAGAAAATAATGCCACTGCGTGTCTCCAGTGTGAAATAAATGCGCCCTGCACCGTGTGTGTGTGAAAAGTTGAGTGGAGACTGAAGGCAAACAGAAAAGTTCGAAAGTCTGACCTCTGCTTCCGAGGATCTCCGCTGTGATGAAAAAGACTCTCCGTGCATGAGCTGTTGAGCTAAAAGTGGATTTCAACAACAAGTTTAAAAAAAAAGCTTTTTCTAATGCTCTATTACAGACAAAATGGAGTCAGTTGATGCTTCACCCGGTGAATGTTCTCCAAACAACTGCCTCCAATCAGCGCTGGTCTTTAGGTTGCTGATTTTCTCTTCACCTTCCAAACAGACATATTTGTCCAGGGTAAACAGCCTCTCTTAAGCAGAGCTGGAGTTCTGACAAGACTTTTCAAGTCTGACTTTGCCAAATCCTGTGGATGGGTTCCACAATAACAATCTGATGTGATAGAAAATGACAACTGCTACAAGGCGAGTATTCATGAACCCTTCGGTTTGGAGATTCATTCGTTTCCCGAACCTGCTTCAGTCACAGGAAAGCTGGTGCATATCCCAACTGTCAAGAAAAGGTTAGTGCAACAGATTTGGAAATGGAAAAACACAACCCACACTTAACAGTGGCGTTTGTCGAACTTGGCATCTTAGACATAGCAAGGAATTACACATTTAGGAGTGAGAACAGAATCATGCAGCAGTGACTTGAAATGAGTGGCACAGAGGTCCAAATTAAGATCTTTCCCACATTTAAAAAGTTTAACATGCTATAGGTATAATATAATAAAAGACTTAGCAAAGTAGAGTGAATTTCTTGTACTTTTATCAACACCTTTTAGAAATGGGTGCATACATTTTTGTGAAGTTGAGAAAAAGAAAATAAAGAACAAGAAATATCTTAGTTTGATGCAGTCAAATAAGTAAAGGTCAAAGTGAAAGGAGGAATAAGTGCTGTTTCTCTTAGTTGATGTTCTCACCAAAGTGTCCTTAAATCCACTTATCTGGTGTTGTATGATTTATTATTCATATTTGACCGTCTTCATAACCCCGTTCCCAAAGATTTCTGCTCAGAAAGTCATGGACGAAACTGGTTGTATTATTATCTGTACATAAAGGAGTGTGTCCAGAGTATTCGGTATGACTAAATTCTTTCTTTTCACATAATCAGACTTATCGGGCTAACAGGAGAAAATTGCAACATTTTTCAAGTTCGTGGCTGTTAAGAAAAAATCTTCGATCAGAATTTCTCTCAGTGTGGAAGAAGTGAAACAACATTATGTGTAGATAACAGCCCCTGTCTCGTTATTAATTGATTTTGGAAGGAAAGAGGGAACAAATACCTTAGAGTCCTCTCAGAATTACCAATGTTCTTAACTTAACACACATCACAGACCAGTGTGAACAGTTTCAGTCAGCCTCACAGAAAAATAACAAGATGCTAACTTTACTGAACATGCAGGAAGTTCTGAATGTTTGTCCAATGATTAAACTCCATATTCTCCAGATCCAGCCAGTGGTGCGTGATGTGACGCACGCGCCTGCGGGAGGGCACTATAAAGCAGCCATGAAACGGCATCAGGACGCATTGGACTGATGAACTTTGTCCGTGGCTTGTGGGCTGACATGTCTGTGGAGGAGCATTTCAGCGTAACCTCAGAGGATGGTGGGGCTTCACATGTCAATCTCTCGGTGGGATTCTGGGACTCCGCCGCGGAGCAGCACCAGTACAGCATCTGGCTCCCCGGCGTGGGGATCGCGGCGGTCTATGGGATCATTATCGTCGTGGGTCTGGTGGGAAACGTCGCCCTGATGAAGACCTGCCTGCTGGTGAAGTCCATGCGCACCGTGCCAAATCTGTTCCTGTCCAGCCTGGCTCTGGGGGACGTGCTGCTGCTGGTGACCTGCGCCCCGGTGGATGCCAGCCGCTACCTGGTGGACCAGTGGCTCTTCGGCCGCGTGGGCTGCAAACTGATCCCGTTCATCCAGCTGACCTCGGTGGGAGTGTCCGTGTTCACTCTCACTGCGCTCTCCGCTGACCGGTACCTGCATGCGCACCCTCGGGCAGTAGCTAATTTAAAAACCCTACACTGGTCTGTGTCATATTTAGGGAAACACACGCTAGACTGCAGGAAAGGGATTTTATGCCGCTCTGACAGTGAAAAAACATGTTTAAATGGATGCATTTCGTTGCACTGGTATGCGTTAAGTCTCCAAAAACTAAAAAAGTGTTTTTCTTTTTAAGGGTGGCAGATATAATTGCAAACCTTCTATTCATTATTACCTAGACTGACTGTTACTGCTACTGACAGTTTTCATATTCCTCCAAGATTTTGGTTTATGTTCCCTACAATGATAAGCACAAATCTGACCGTTCTTTCGAGATTAAAAACATTTGAAATGCTGCATTTAAAACATCATTTCAGTTTAAATATTTCAAATTGAACCATATTTAGTGTAATAAGAGTGCAATAACATGTTGGTTTAGTTTTAGTAAACGCTGTTATTTGTGTATCAATTTTAACCACACAAAAATATGGATACATTTTTTATGTATAAGAGCTGATTACCCTTGCAACAATACATCTAATGACATTAAGCCTTTTTGTGTGTTACAATAATCTAAAAAATACATTGCTTCCACTTCTGAGGGTCCTCATGAGGACACAAGACAATCAGACAATCCTCCAATACCTGCATGATGTTTTGCAAGCTGCAGTGTTTAAATACAAATTAATTAACCCTAGAAAAACGAGTTAAAAACTGTTGTTTTTTTTTCATGAACAATAAACCTTAACATTTGGTAATCTTCTGAAAAACACAGAGGGAAACTATTTGATGTTTCAAAACAGAAACGGAATCCTTTTATTGCCTTTTTTTTTGCTTGCGTACGAGAGCTTATAAAACCGTTGACATGGTAATAAAAATTCTTGACGTGCACTTGCTCAATGGGCTTCTGGGCTCAATATAAAGGAGTATTCATGCGCTCCTCAGGTACAAAGCTATCGTCAAACCGCTGGACATCCACCGGTCGAGCGCCACGCTGGGCATCAGCGCGCGTGCGGGGGCCATCTGGCTGCTGTCGGGGACCCTGGCCGTCCCTGAGGCCGTTTTCTCTGACCTGCACACCTTCACCACCAGCCACACCAACGAGACGTTCGTCACCTGCGCGCCCTTCCCGCACGTCGGGGCGCTGCATCCCAGGATCCACTCCACCGCCTCCTTCCTCATCTTCTACATCATCCCTCTGCTCATCATCTCCGTGTACTACTGCTTCATCGCGCGCAGCCTGGTCAGGAGCTCCGCCAACATCCCGGCAGAGGGTCAGCTGCACCTCCACAAACAGGTTGGGGCTCTGCCTGGACAGCTGCCCTTGTCTGGAGTCTAAACAAAAGCTGCAGGATTTTAGAATTAGACTTTGCTGAAATCCGAATGCTTTTGGACAGGGATTGGTCTTCACACACTGCACTTCATCCTGCATATTTTTGTTCTAACCTGCCAAATTCAGATAATTTGCTCCTCATCAAGCGCAGCTAAAGCCAGAAAATGACAAAGTCTTTTGAAGACTCATGTGCGTTTGAGAAATCCATCAAATGTAGGAGACAGAGAGTCAGAGAACTAGAATTTTGGATACAGGGATACAAACTCTAATAATCAATAAATAACACATTTAAAATATAGTTTTGATCTTTTGAAATTAAGTTGCATGGTTCGCCATTTAGATACGTTAGGCTGCCAGGGAGCATGTTATGATGCTGAGCATCATAAACCGTAACACCCAAACACAAAATCTGCGTTCAATGCTTTTAGATTTCATCATGAATTGACAAAAGTTAGAAATTATCATAATCTGCCCGATATTAGAGGTCTAAATTAGTTGGTGAGAGAGAAAAAAAAAAGGAAAAAAAGAATGCTGAATAAAAATGTCCTACCCCACAGTCACACCAGCGGAGGTCATTTTGACACTTTTTGTGCAGTTCCTCTAATCGCCAGTAGAGGTCACCACTGGGGAGCTGTTTCATTTTCTGAGGCCAACCAGAGAGCCATCAACAGAAAAGGAGAGCATGTGACAAAGACGAGAACCTGCAGGATGAAGTTCATGATAGTTATGGTCACTAACATGAGAAGCGTTTTGTGTCTATTTAACTTAAAATATTTTGGTCCATCTCAAGAGTATTTTACAGAACACAGAATTACGAAACCAGCATACAAAATGGAAAGGGCCCCTACGGTCTCAAATTGAAGATGCAAAGTTTGGTCTTTTGGTTCTTTAAATGTGTATCACACAGCATTTAGTTGAAATTATTTTAATGTTAAAAACATTCCAAAAACAAGGCAGACGATAAAGTTGTCTGTCAGTGATGTCGTGAGATGTGTCTTGTGATCAGCTTGCATGCTGGATGCTCAAACAACACCTTGAATGAGTTTGTTTGTTAAAGATTTTTAGTTTTTAGTTTGCAGTCTGCCTGTAACCCTGCATAAAGGGAAGGGGGAGAGATCCTACTCTGAGAGGTGTTTACTTTACTGACTTATCTGAGTATGAACTTGAATAACGTGAAGAACAAAATATCTGATTTCAACAGGCAAACTTGCGAGACGATGATTGAAGGATCAGAAAAAGGATTTAAACAAGCACAGACCTGCTGTTGTGCACACAATCAGCCAACCGCCCTCACCCCCCTATTCTTGGATCCATGAATTACCCTCAAACAGCTGTTGACACAGGGACATAAATTCAGTTTATGTTGCTTTGAACTAAGCTTTGAAATGTGCCGGCTTCATCAGGTGATAAAAGATGACATTGTACCTGATATTTGATCTAACACCGATTATCAGAAGTGATGATAACATGTTGATCATATTCTGGGTTCAGTCTGTTAAACCTGTTTTTTTTACATTGTTGGGCCGTAGGTGTTAAAATTGTGAACTCTGTTTAACACATATTCATTTATCCTAGCTATAGATCATTTGCCTGCTCATTATTGGCCTTCTTTCTAAACTCGCCATAATTTTGTTCTAATTTCAGAAGAACTGATTAGTAGCATTGACCTTAAACATTACAACTTCTGTCGTGAACCTCGGACACTTTGTTCACTTCTGTGCCGATGACAATCATAGACAATGATTGGAGAATAGCTCGAGAATAGCTCCTTAATGGGTCTGGAGGAGAATTTTCCAGTGTGTGCAAGGAATGAACAAGAGGCCAAAAATTAACACAATACTTCACTTGTAAGAATGTGTGTGTGTGTGTGGGGGGGGGGGGTGATTTTACCCTCAGAAGCAGGCAAGTTTATACCTCAAACACAATAAAATAATAAGCAGCAGAGTATAACTGAGGTTGATTTAAATGTCCTTGAGTAAGTGATTTAAAAAAAATGTTTTATCACAACTTCAGTGTTGGCTTGATGGCGGCCGATGTGAGATGGGCTTTCTGCTTTCGGTCTCTCCTGTCAGGTCAAGTCCAGGAAGCGCCTGGCCAAAACGGTCCTGGTGTTTGTGGGCCTGTTTGCCGTCTGCTGGCTCCCCAGTCACGTGATCTACCTGTACCGCTCCTACCACTACGGCCAGGTGGACACGTCGCTGGGCCACTTCGTCGCCAGCGTGTGCGCCCGCGTCCTGGCCTTCACCAACTCCTGCGTCAACCCCTTCGCCCTGTACCTGATGAGCAAGAGCTTCAGCAAGCACTTCAGGAAGCAGCTGCTGTGCTGCAGCTCGCCCGGCTCGCGTCTGCACAGCCAGAACAGCGGCAGCACCAACGTAACCACCGCCTGAAGGGGATCTCCTGGCTCCCGATCCTCAGCCATTGTGTTGACTTGTTAACTGACACTTAGAAAAAAATGCCAAAACATTTCTGTGGTTTTGTGTTGCTCAAAGGAACCGACGAAAACGTTTGAGTGTGTCGGTTCAAGTTTGGTCCAAGTTTCTGTGGCCAGCTGGGACTCTTTGTTGTCATGATTTTGTGTTGTGCTGTGTTGTGCTGTGTTGACAGTTTTGACGTGAACATTGTTTAGTGGCAGAGCTGAATAACTTTAGATTTAGATAAGAGACTAAGTATTTTATGAAAAGCTAAATAATTATGAATAAAAATGAGAAACTAGTTAACATTCTTAACTTAAATGTTCAGTAGTGCTATTTGTTTAATTTCTGTTATTGATTTACACATAATATTCCCTTTTCTTTAAAAAAACAAATAAATTAAACAGTTTAGAACACCTATGCTTTTACTGAAAAAATTAATCAATTATTACATTTTTGGAATAAAATAGCATACCTGAACAACAGGGGAAATATCCAATTAAACTAAGATTAATTCAAGGATCAGAGTAAATAAACATATCAAAGAATTAATTTAAAAAAACTATCATATAATCTTACTGGCAAAGTCAAACAACAGATTACAGAATATATGAAATCTGTCCTTTTCTAGAATAAAGATAATAATCATTTTTATCTTGATGTTATTATAACAAAATGTCCTGCTGGTGTAAAACCTAGTGGCATGTCGATGTCATTTTGATGGACTCAAATAGCATTTACTGCAATTTGTGGTGCAAATGATCCATGAATTAGCCAGGCATTTGCTTTTCTAACCTGAAAAAATGTTTCTCCTGTGGCTATTTCTTGTTAACCACTACATGTTTTGCCCAAGTGATTAAAAAGTTCAATGGAAGTTAAACATTCTGAATATGTCACTGAACGTTAGGTTGACTGACAAGCAATCAGAAATCACTGAATGCTTCGGTGACACGAAGAGAGGGTGTTTTGGAAGTACATCGGTTCACTGTAAACTTGCCGTTTTGTAATAAAGCGTTTGAAGTGTTATGTCACACACCTGGAGGCTTTTTCTTAAAAACCTACTAAATAATCTAGTGACTGCTGTGTTGGTTGTTCTGTTGGTCCCATGTTAAAGTAAACCCCCCCGGGGTTTCTGTGATTTTTTAACCGCAGGCCATTCCTTGTCATTTGTTATCTCTCTGGGTTCAGTAACCGACATTCAGTAAAATAGGCTATTTTTCCCCTGTTTTGCAAAAGGAAAGTATAAAACTCACATAGCCGACAAAACTCGCTTGGAACGCTCAGATTTTTTTGATGGAACATTGCCCACTGGGATCCACTTGGGTATCAGGACATACACATAAACCAAATAAGTGACAGATCTGTGACCTTTCAGTTCAGCTGCTTTTTTTCCCCTCACAAACTGATCTTTTATGTTGGGTTTTATTTTAAGAACATGATTAGAATACCCTTACAACATTCTAAATGCCCTTTCTACGGACAGCTTTAAACATGAGGAGACCTGTTAGCAGACCGGCATCATCTCTTAGAGAGTCGGTGTCTTCGGATCCTCATTTTCTTGTAATGTCATAAAATCCTGAAAATAACCTGAGATTATGTTCTCACCTTATATTTTCCAAAAGTCAACAGCTTCAGAAAAAAGCCGCAGGGAGAGTTGAAAGACAGCATTTAAACATTTCCTACACGAGTTTCGTCAGAAAAGAGAAATTATGATAATTAAACGTCTTTTTTTTATAATGCAAATTTGATTGAGTTTTTTTTGTTTTATAGAACATACAACAAATATGGCAATATGCCACACCGACCTTTCCAAATCTACTTTACAGTTAGCCAGTTGGTAAAAGCAGACCGTGTACTATCACACTGATGCATTCTACATAGGAAGCTGTTATCACTTTCTCGTGAGAGGCCAGTTTCTCCATAGTTGTCAGCCTTTCATCATAAGGAGGAGGTTTTTTTCATGCAGTGTCTTAGATTTAATCTGACAAATCCAAGTCCACACTGAGACCACAGCCCATGTGGGCACCTAATCACTCCTATCCGATTAATTACAACGTAGAACAATATAATTATGTATAAAAGATATCTAAATTCTATCAATATGACTAATGTATTTTTAATTTCTAAGGGGAAATTTAGCAAACACCTTGGCATTATTTACAAATAAACTTCATTTGACATCTAACCCACAGCTCTAAAGTTACTGAATAACCTTCAGCTGAATTGATTTGTCATGAAGGAGAGTCTGTCCTCCTCTTCCTCTGACTTTCTGCCCCTGAGGCGTTCATCGATTTGCAGCAGTGAAAATGAAAAGCAATAAGCAACCTGAGACCTGAGTGTGACCCCGCTGTGAAGGATGCACAACATCCTCCAACTGGAGAAACGGCAGCGGAACATGATTTTGTTGTTTTGACGGCATCGCGGCCAACAGCTGACCACGGACTGCGTGAAAATTCATCAGCATCAAAAGACGAAGAAGCCTCAGGATGCATGGATCTGTCATCCGCAAGTTTTTTTTAAATCGCTGTTGCTTTTGCTTCTTGGCCCAGGCCCTTCAATTTAGATAGGCTCAAACAACATTTTTCAGGTCCCTATGGAGGTGACCTTTCGGGGTAACATTTGGAAATTATTTCCCCTTGAGCAACACCAGTATCAGCACATCTCTTAAGAGACTTTTCCTGGAGATGATCCCCTGGTTGTTTGTCTTCTTTCTTTGGCTTTGATCAAGATATCCCTGTAACAGTTGTAATAAAAGCACTTCAGATAATCTGCTCAAAGAGTGATGGAGGACCAATTTGAGCTGTCAGCATTCGCACGGAATGGCACACACAGACACCCAAAAAAAACAAAAGGGAATTCTGTTAATAGGTTTGTTTATCTAAACTAAGCTAAACTCAATGTTTTTGTGAAGTCTACCTGTGGCCTGAAGATTTAGTCAGACAGCTAATGGAGCAGGCTGACTGGAGAAGCTCATTTATGGTCCCCAAAGAACAAAACCTGTTTTCTTCCATGCTTAGCCAGCTGAGGAAAATACTGTAACCAGCTGCAAGGCTTTTAACCACTCCATTAAAATGTAGCAAATCTATCAAATTCTGTTTTTCTAAATCCCCAGTTGGAAAAGCTCCAGGGCATTATAAAAGAACACCACGTTGAATTACAAACCCGCTTTGCGTGCATTGAAGCTACTACTTTCAGTTCCCTAGAGACATCTTTGATTCTTCAGTCCTTTTAATTTTCGTGCGGGAATGAGTGTTTTTTTCTTTTTTGGCAGATAGAAGTTATTTTTACTGCACCTTGGCTCAACATCTGCTGTCACAGTCATTGACAGATGGACCCCAATGCAGACACACGAAACAGGTGGTGTGAAAACAACTTGGGAGAACAAAGGCTCTGGCACTGAATGATAATTGCAACAAGTAGAACGAGAAACCGAGACGCAGTTATGCAGAAAAATTATGACTAATCTGGCGGTGAACCAAAAAGAAATCTTGGCAATTTAAAACTCACAAATGAAAACAGCAAGTTGTTATAATGAATGAACAACAATGTTTGACTTGGCTCAACGCAGGTGAACGGAAACGATCTACAAAGGAAAATCTTTAATGATATCTCCCACAATGCCTCGGCTATAGTATCTTATCAGATACGGCGCCATAAATCACGAAATGATGCCTTGACAGAAGTAAAGGAAGTATCCATGTATCAGATGTTCACAACTCAGCCACAAAAGTCTAATAAACTCAAGGCTAACACCCTAGAGTTTTCTTTTTTTATTCCATTTGAGGTCCTGTAACCTTCTGCCCGAACAGACACTGATTCAAGTGACATTCAAACAGCTCCCTGTGGAGCCGTGTAAAGGTTTCATAAAACTGCATCACTGATGGGGGGAAAAAAACCCAACAAAACAACAAAAAAACAAAGAGGAGTGGAACTGTTTCCGCCCTGTTGCAAATGCATTTTGAAATGAGGCCAAACCTACAGGCATTCCATAAAAAGCTGGGCGTAGAGTAGACAGATACAAATAACGGTGTTACCACGCAAATCCAAAAGTCTATGATCGCAGACTTTCCTTTTTCTTGACTTGTAAGTCTGTGACAAAGAAAGGCATCTGGCATACGGTGTAAGCACACGGAGAGCCTCACGAGCAGGACTTCTCATCGGTAGAGAAGGAAATCCTGGATGGTGCGAGGGAGGCAGAGGCTGGACGCTCTGTGCAAACGACTGCTCCCCAGACTTCGGCGAATACGGAAACGGCACAGCTGGGCCAGAGAGCAGGGACCTGGGACGTAAAAGAGGAGGAAATAAAACATCAAATAGTTCATGATTCAAGTAAAATAAAGAATAGGGTTCTGGTGCCTGACGAGTGTGCGAAATACACAAAGCCCACCTGCTCTCTGAAGTGCGTCTCTAACTGCGCTGTTTGGCGCCGACAGGTCCAGAGGAGTGTGTCCCTCTGCGTTCCTGCACGCCCGATCGGCCCCGAAGTCAAGCAGCAGCTCGACCACGTCTGGCCCTCCGGCCCCAACCGCCGCGTGCAAAGGAGTCTCCAGCCCGCATCCAGTGTGGACATCTGCACCTGGAGGCGGACATAAAACTGCTGGTTCAACAGCAGCGCACAGAAAAAACTTCGGTACCAAAACCCACAACAATGTTCTCACTGATGCCTTCGAGGGGCTGCCACGGGCTGGCAGGCTATGGCCGAACCAGTAACCATCTCCAGCAGTTTTGGCTCAACCAGCATAAGCAACTAAGAATCTGCAGAGAATACCATGAAGGCCAGCGAGACCCGGGACAGAAGGTGACTCACAGGCAGACTATGTGGCATCTGACACGCTAACAAACTGTCTGTGAGTTTGAGAGGTGACTCAGTGAACCAGTTCTTTAGGGCTAGAGCGGGCCAGAATAGTTCTCCAGGCAAGGTGAGTGTAGCTGGAGAGAAGGAAGTAGTAGGCCAGGTTAAAATGCTCCACGTGGCTGCACGTGCAAAGCAACGCCAGTTAGAGGCCTTAAAATGCATCGGGGAACAAAGAGGCATGCTGAGACAGAAAGGGAGAGCGACTGCACCAGTCGTACTTTTTAAGAAGTCATAAAACCACAGACTGACAGATATCAATCAGACAGCTCCAGAGGTGCTAAGAAGGGGGCAGCTGGAATGAGGTGAAAAGGCCAGTCAGAGAGAGAAATGTGGAGCAGAAATTCAGGCCTAGCAGCACAGGATGGGAGGCAGTCAATAGAGATTTGCCAATAAGATTAGTAGCCTTCTGAAGATAGGAGATGTATTTGACTCCCGTGGTGCAGAATGATTTTGGGTGCAAGAAAAAAAAAAGGAGGGTGCATTTAGAAAGGAAATAGAAACTGAGAAATTGGTGATCAATACAAACATCAAGAAAGCTATGAATTGTGCCAAGTGAATTGCAGCCCTGGTAGTTTCTCAAAGAGATTGGCAAGAAAGGTTACAAAAACACGTGTGCTGCTGAGAGGTGTGAATGGCTGCTTTCTGTTTCCATGGAAAGGGAAACCGGGGGGCAAAGAAAGGTTAGACGATGAATGGGCAAAAGTCAACCAGGGAGCAGCTTTTTTTTAATCTAATTTCCCTGCTACTAATCACTTTCCTTATTCATATTTTTTGCTCCTTTGTTCTTCAAACAAAGAAGTCAGATTTGACACAAAAAAAAATTCAAAAAAATCTCTACAGTTCCTGATTCACTAATAGTATAATTGTACCTTTTAGACCGCGGTGGAAGATGAATGATTTCACTGTGTCGTTTTACACAAAGGAACTACATTGTCATTATGTTGAGCAAATCCTGAAAACTCCTACACATGTTTTATGGCCCTTCCTGCTTTCTATTTAACGTTGTAAACATGTTCACAACAACACTTCATCTGCAATTAAGTTGTGAGAGTTGATTCCTGGTTTGACGAAGACAAAGAAGTGAGAAACAAGTTCGCTGGGCAGGTTTTAGTTTGACGGAATACTGTGTGTGTGTACGTATTTTTTTTCATGTTTGATTTCACTTGTCAGCAATGTGTTCAACTTGAGCTACTGCATTTATGCACTTGTCAAAGCCTCCGTGGAATGCTCTTTAAAAGGGCGCTGCGTCTGTTTATATTGTGTCCGACTCATTACCCCTCTGCAGCAGCAGCTCCACGCAGGCTGAGGCCTGGGCCTGGCAGGCGCAGTACAGCGGCGTCCCCACCCCTGGCAGCTCGGGGTCAATGAGACCTCCACAGGCGGGCAGCAGCAGCTCCAGACACTCCCTGTGACCTGGTGAGGACAGGGCACCGCGTCACGGCCTGCGCGGGGGACACTTCGCACCTATCTGGGCGGACATTTTTGCACATCGACACCTTTTTCGGCAGCTTCATGGATGGGTGAAGCCAGAGGGTGGGCGGAGTGGACGGAGGCGCCGTGCTGCAAGAGGAGCCCGACACAAGCGGCGCTCCCGCTCCGGCAGGAGTTGAAGAGAGGTGTGGCACCATCTGTGGACACGGCGTTTGCCTGAGAGGATGTTTCCATCAAAGCTCGTTTTTACCATGTCACAACAGTTTGAAGAAGCTATTGTAAATATGCGAGAGGAACCAGTCAGGCCACATGCAGAGGGAGAAAGTTTAACTGCCAGTTTGATCTCATTCAAACAATTACTCAATAACATTCCAAGCTCCCATCCGACCCAACATCCCTCCGCACGGAGGAGAAACTCGGGTTCCAATATGCTAAGCTTGATTTAACCGTACATCGGCGCCACTCTCCAGCAGGAATTTGGCACAGGCGTAGTGACCCCCGAGACAGGCCTCGTGGAGAGGAGAGACTCTGTCGATGGTGAGCGTGTCCACGGGGAAGCCCTGCAGAGAACACCGGGGGCAAACACCGCAAGGGTCACATCTGGTCACACGCACAGTAGCTGGAACTAAAACGTGGAGCACCAGCTCTGGAGTTCACCTGAGTGACGAGAGCCCTGAGCTGCAGGGATCTGCCCTGGAACGCCGCCTCATGCAGGGAGGTCCTGTCCGACCAGGAGTCTGAAACAAAGACAGCACAGACAAGCGTCCTCTCGTCAAAAAACATTGACAGGCTGACAAATCCAGCTGTACCCTTTATCATGTTGAGATAATCTCACAGGAACTTTGAGATGTCTGGTTTTCCAAAATTCCACAAAATGGCTTTTTCTGATCTTTGCAGATATAACCATGAAAGCAAAGGGCAATCTCACCAGCCATCAACCAGTTGCATACCAGGCCCCCGTAGATGTTCACGGGGCTCTGCCAAGGCCCAGACCACATGGAAACATCTGCTTGAACGGCAGCCATTGTAAGATTGAAACACTAGCAAATTCCTTGATGATTGTCCAGAACAGCAGCTTGCTCAGGAGACACAGCCCTGAAGTCGGCCTTCCTCCAACTCTTATCTGTGGGTCCTTGGTCAACTCCCCCACATTACCTCCCTCCTCCATACACAGCCAGGCTCATTCACAGAAACGACAGCGTCTGCATAATAATGCCAGCTGTAATGGTCCTGAGAGCTTTTCTTTGGGTGTGTCTGAGCAGAGAAACAGACCGTCCCAGCGAAATGTTGATTTGGATGGATGGAAACCTTCAGCCAGATCAAAATTTGTGACTCACTGAATGAACTCTTGGTGGTAAAAAAATAGTGCACAAAGCATCTGGTACACAGTCAATAAAAACACAAATAAAAAACAGCAAAGGTTTCTTTTCTTAGCTTTAGGCCTCCTTAAGCAAACTGAGAAGAAGGGATCATTTTCTGGAGACACTGCATGGCCTTTACACTTCGGAGGACAACACAAAAGAAATCCCTTTTGTTGTCCTTGGAAAATTCCCTAATCTCCGTCACCTAAGCCTTTCCATTTCACTGCGTCTGAGTTTCAGTTGGCTCTCTTCCTTCCCGACAGAACTGGGTGCAGAGCAGCTTCTTCGAGGGAGTCCATTTTTTAACTGCATGCAGAACAAAAAACATCAACAAAACAACACTTTCACGTCAGAAAGCATCATTTATTTCTCGGACTGGACTGGATGCCAGACAATCGTCTGAATGACTCCCAGATTGGATTGCATACGAATATATTACACTGACAATTAATTAGAAAAAACTGATCAGCTTCCCAAAATATGTAAAACCAAAAACACGAGGTCCACCAACAATAAAATAAAAGATCATCTTAATCTTTGCAATGTGTCCACTGTAAAGACAAGAAAAGTGCTTATTAATTCCAAAAGGAGATTAAATGCTGTAACACGAGTCCCTTTTGTTAAATGTAAACATTTTTGGGGGTTGGGGGGTGCAGACTCTGTCTGAGCAGCTGGGAATGAGGCAGCGGTGAAGCGCGATCACTGCGAGGAAGCTCCTGCTGCCCCCTTTGTGGCACTTTTTGAATAAAATCTGCTTTTGCAGCTCTTTTCCTGACTCCACAGTCCACGTGGGCCCGTGGCGTCCACAGCGACGTCCATCAGGTGATCTGGCACCAACCACTGCAGCAGCAGCAGGAAGAGAAAATCCAACACGGCCACAAAGGCAAAGATGGAGCCGGCCACGGGGCCACAGTGGGCCCTGAGCCTCCGTAACCTCCTGTCCAGGGGGAGGACTCCCTCTCCGGCCACTCTGTCGTACACCTGGGGGGAGCAGACAGTGAGAAGAGGCTGCAAACGCTCCCCTATCATCACCCCAGCTCAGACCAAAAAAACAAGCCAGTTTTTAAAAGAACAAACAATTCAGATATCTAATCATCACATCAGTGAAAAGCGACACCCAGGCTGTAACATGATAACCCCCCCATCCTGCTCCTCTTGGAACCCATCTGCCTGCAGAGGTTGTGAAACAAAGTTTTATTGACTTACTGCAGTTTCTGTTGACATTTTAAGTGGCTCAATTTTTTTTAAGTTAAGAAACATTTCACACTTGACGTAAATCAGACTTGGAACAGGTAATTTTCCTGCTATTGAATTCTCCTTCAATAGCAATTTCCTGTAGAGTCAATACGAAGTCAATCAAAAAGAAAATAAACTGAATGTGAGAAAGGCTGCTTTAGCAGGTTCAAAGGCATCTAGATAGTTTTCTAGATAATTGTTCGCTTGCTGTTTTTGTGTTGTCATTAGATTTTCTGCAACATGAAATAACTTCTTTAATTTCTTCTTTAATTTTGTACAACTTATTAATATAACTTGATTTATACCTGATTTTACCTTTTGAAAAAGGAAGAAATAACAGTAAATATACACAATCCAATCTGTGATAATCATGCAGAGATGGAACATAACTATCACTGAAGTACACTACATAATCATTAGAGACAACTCATTAATGTTAACTTTTACACTAAGCCGTCATCTTTAGCACAGTTTGCCTGCGTGAAAAACTTTTTTCTTTTTTTCCAAAGCTCACTCAACAGATAAATTATATAATTAAATGTGTGCGTGCTACTGCAGTGTGCTGCCGGCGACGGAATGAAACGAAAGCTCAGGGAAACCTACTCTTTCGGTCCTCTCTGCCACATTTTTCCAGGTGTAGAGGTTTCTCACGCGGCTGTGAATGGTGGCCGGGGAGGGAACGGAGCCAGACCGCTGCTGGGCAATGACCGATTCAAGACCAGCACACAAGGACCGAACCGTGGGTTCACACAAGGTGATCAAGTCCTCTGGCAATACCTCAGGAATGCCACCCACACGAGTGCTAACCACCTTGGCGGAAAAAACATTGCGGGGGAAAAAAAGGTGGTTAGATTTCACAAAAGGCTTTAAATAGCTGTAAGAAATGTGAATGATAATAAGAAAAGTATCTGAATGATTTGAAAGTCTGGATCCGTTTTGTTAACTTCTAATGGCGTCTGCATCAAAAACAACTGCGCCCACTTCAGCTCACTGAGAGCAAACCAAACCTTTGTCATTTGTTTCCTTTTTCAACACCCTTCGATAAAATTTGAACACAAAAACTTTGAATTTGAAAAAAGCAAACATGAGAGCAAGCAGCAAACTGTGGCTTTCCAAATATGTTCTCCTACATCAAGACAAAACTACAGAAATAAGTTTCTACTAAAACAAATATTGGTGTTTCTTTCCAAGCACATGTACCTCTTTGTTGCCTTTGCAAAAAAAAAAGAAAAGAAAAAAGAAAAAAAAATGTAACCCACAAACTACATCAAATCTTGGACACGTGGAATCAATATTTTGAGAACTTTCACCTGATGTTGAGAGTACTTGAAAAATGAAACCAAACGTGCCACATTCTTTCGAATCATTCCGCCACTGAGACTTTGCTCTTGGCAAATTCTGTTCAACTGTGTTAAACTAATGTGATGTCTGTTTTTAATCTACTCTCTGTCCTTGGGTGTCACCTGACTTTGTCCTGTAAGCGCATGGCCTCCTAGGAATATGTCTATTAAAGGCTGATGGTTTGATAAATCTAGGACTTTTTTCCTCCCAACCATTGGTAATAATGTTAGATTAGTATTTCAGGATATTTATGTAGTGAAGACCTGTAGTAGAGTTTTACACTGTTACTTTTTGATCATTGTTGGGACATGAATGAGGTTAATTATCTGGGATGGCCAATTGAGCAGTGCAATTGAGCATTGAGTTTATCTATATAAATGTCATCTTTGACAATCCAGAGCTTTGTGGTGAGGTAGTGAATGCTATAACATGACTGGACAAGACAGCACAAGAATTCTATTGAATGCAACAAAATCATCCAGTGATTTGAATGACTGCTCATGTAAAAGTTGCCTCGTCCGACTGAGACTCTGCCCAACTTCTCATTTTGAGGCTGTTGTAGGACTAACAACAGACCTGCAGCCCGCAGCTGGCTCCTTCCACAATGGCCATACAGAAAGCTTCAGTTAGCGACGTGTTGAGGAAGATGTGACCCTGAACTAGGACGCCCCGCACATCTTTGTGCTCCAGAGCCCCAAGCAGACGCACCCTGCAGAAATCCCAATAAAGTTTGAAACAATTTCACTATTAACAGGATATGAGTCAAGTCCAACATCTATTTCTTAACACGGGAATCAAGAAAGAAAAAACAACAGGATTTTTAGATTTCTGATTTAGTAATATCCCCGCCAGTTAAAACATGTTTTTGCAGGGTGACAGCCTATCACATGACATCAGGACGCTTGAGCATTCATTAGTACCTCTCATGCAGTTGGTATTTCTCTCTCACTTCCTCCAACACAATTCTCTTCGGTCCCTCTCCGCCAATCAGGAAATGTAAATCAGGATATTTGAGACAAAGCTCTGGGATGATTCCACCAAGAAGATCAATCCCTAAACAGAGGGGAATGACACATACTGATGTTTTTACGACAGCCAAAGCAAGGCAACTTTTTATGATATTTGGATTTTAATGCCGACATATTTATCAAGCATAGAAAAAATGAAGAATTCCCCAGGGCACCGGGGGCCTCTCTATGTGGAGTTTGCATGCCCTCCTTGTGTGTGTTTGGGTTTCATGCAGGAGCTCTGGCTTCCTCCCACCTCCCAAAAACATGCATGTTAGGTTATTAAGAAAATGGCCCCTAGGAGTGAGTGTGTGGTTGTGGCTAAAAACCCTCCCTTCCTGTAACTCTAAGAGTAATAAGCTGTTTGGACAATGGACGGATGTAATTAGGATTGACTGTGAAAAAAATCTTAAGTTAACCCTGTATTCTTACTATCTCATTTCAAATAAAAAATCTCATCTTTCTATTTCTTTAATCTAAAGTGGTCCTTTTTCCTTATTTCAACACTGATTTATAGGCACAGTAAGGCTATTGAATTATACGATCTGAAACACACACCCGTAACAAAGAAATGAATAAACTTTGGAAAAGGACAAGCAGGAATAAGAAACCTTTGCGGTAGACAAGGCGGCTGATGACGACGATGGTGATCCTGTCATGCTGGCGCTGTGTCGGGTCAGGTGTGAAGTCTGTGGGGTCGACGGCGTTGGGAATGACCGACACGATCTCTGGGTTGAGAGCAGCACGGAGCACTGTGTTCTCCTTACTGGTGTAGGACACGCAGACGATGTGGTTGGTGTCGCACAGCGAAACGGTGAGAAGCTTGTTGGTCAGCACAGAGCTGACGTCAGCGAATCCGAAGAGGGAGTGGTCAGTGAACACCTGGAAAGGAAAAAAACAAGAAAACAATTAAAAAAAACAGCGACCCTGGGTTTACATCAGAAAGATATCATTGCGTCACGTGATGCTGAGTGACGTACCGTATTTAGGCCCATCGTCTTAGCGTGGAACAAAGCATCGTGGGCCATGGCGGAGAAGGAGCTGTGTGCGTGCACCACAGTGATGCGCTCCCTGACAAACACACAGCGCAGCAGTGGGAGACTGTGGAAGCAGGTGGTGGCTGTGGACTGGTTGTACATCACCTGCAGGGGCAGGTAGTACACCTTCAGCCCGTTGGTCAGGTACCGGACGCCCTTTCTCCGACCGTAGGCGTGGGTGGCAATTACCACCTTGTGCCCTTTCTCAATCAGACACTGGGATAGCTGATAAATGTGACTCTCTACTCCTCCCATATTTGGATAGAAGAAGTCAGACACCATGCAAATGTTGTGCTTCTTGTTGGGGACCCAAGCAGCATCTCCAGAATCTCTCTGAGACGAGGGGGATTTCAAAGCTGCCGTTCTTCTTCGCTGGCCCATTGTAGTCCTCCGGTAGATGGCACTTAGTCAGTGCTGCTATATTTAAAAAAAATCCAAGATTAAAGTACTAACATTGGATAACTGATTAAAAACAGTATTAATATTACTATTTAAACTCGGATTTTAACTATACCTCTTACTATATCAACTGAATTAAAAGCAGTTTCATTTGCAAACCCATTTATAGTTCTCAATCATTACTTACTAATAAAGCACAACCAGACACTAAATCTGCTTTCATAGAACACTTTTTTTTTTTTTACATTTTCATTCGATACATCTGCTGGAATTTGCAGAGATCGGAATGTGTTCTATATGGATGACAGACCAAATATTGAAAACATCTTTGAGTAATGCCTACACCTTCTCACTGTAAATTGTAGCATGAACGTACTACTACACTCATCTGACAACAAATCACTGTTTCAAGATATTTCACATTGCCCAATATGTGAATATCAGGATTTCCTGTGAGCTACATTGTGACACTGCAAGCTTGCTGTCAAACTCCAGTAATGCTTAAAATGCTGTTTCCTAATTGTGCCCGCCGCATGCCCACGTCGCACTGCATTAACGAATAGTAAATTCACAGTTAATTTTGGGTCGACAAAAGATGTGGAATAGTATGCACCGTCACAAACAAAGTTTTACCGCACTAAAGACTCCAAATTAAATCTGAGCTGCAACTCCCTTCCGGAGTGTTTCATTGCTCATTGCTTTCAAGCTAACAGTGGTCAGATTTTTAAAAGTTAGGACAAATATTACGCCTCCACCCCCCCATCCACATTCCAGATTTATAAAGACCGTACCGTGGACATGTATGTTAGTCTGGTTCCAGACCTATTAAAAAATAAACGGCTGTGCTTTACAGGGAAGTTCATTTCTCTTCGCTAGCCCTGTGCTAGCTGCATAGCCGCCTCCACCACTTCCGAGTGAATCTTTGACGTCGACGTATTGATGACGTACCAACCGAAAGCAGCGCGTGCTTATGTGTCGCGTAGGCAGAATCCCAGTGGCTCAACAGCTTCCCATCCTCTAAAAATAACGTTTAGGTTGTCAGAGCTGAACCTGAACTTATTAAAGTAGGTTTCAGGATACCTTTAGTTTGGATCTTAAAGGTTCAAATAAAAATTGTCATATAAAATCGACAACAACTTTAAGTGGCTATTAAGTGCACATTGTAAAGAAAGACTATACTTTAATACAATGCATGTATTGATTTTACTCAATACAAATCCACAAATCAGTTGGATTTATTGGCAAAATATTCATTATTCATGTAGCCATACTAATTGGGGGCTATTGCTGCCTACCTGTTCTTTATGGGGTTCCCCTTCTTGTGTATTTAATCTCTAAATAACTTAAAAAGAGAAAGAAATGTATGAATGATTTTTTTTACCACTGTTTTTCTCAACCAACAAAAGAGGGAAATTAACTGGCAATCCCCTACAAGGGGCGACAAAAATGAATGTATGGACCTATAAAAAATAATCTCTTTAGTCTTAACAACTTGATCACAATGCAGAGTATGTACAATGGAGAATGAGCATCCATACTTAGAGAAACTGTTTTAAACACTACTGCAATTTCAATAAAGGATCTGAATTGTTTCCCACTATAGTGGATTAAAAAACTGTAGTTTACCATATGGCTTGTTTTCTGTTATTTTTTATTAAAAAGTCCAGAAGAGCTAGGTTTAAATTCATCATAGAAATCATGACAAAGGCAGAAATGTAAGAAAAATGGTCTGACCAGATTTAATTTCACTCCATGCAAACACACCACTCACAGATGTCTCAGTGCTTAAGTTCATACATACTTATCTGAAAATATATTCAGTATTTAATAGTGGTTTGACTTTGTATGAGAGTTTGTGACACAAAAAAAGATAATAGTCAGAACATAAAATTCAGGAACTTCACTTTTTATCACTTAGTTTACACCAAGAAACAAAGTGCACAAAATCACATCCAAATTTTTGCCTCTTTTAAACTAATCTAATCTCTGGATCAGAGGTATGTGTCTCAGTTTCTGTGATAAACCACATCTGTTTTTCTCACGCAGTTTTACTCATGTGGCATTCATTGTAGCTGTCAAACCTCCTCAATATCTTCATAGTTAAATTTAATTAAACCCAAAACCTTGTGGAACAACAAGATATGCACATTACGTTTTACTGGCCTACTTGCATTTGTAAAAACAAAGCTGGTAAAGCAACATTCAAAGTAAAAACTGGACCACAAAATCTGTTACGTATGAACAACTTGTTTAAACAGGCTCACCAAAAATTAGGTGAAGACATTACAAAAAAAAACAGACATTCTAATACATATGCAATTATATATCTCCCACATTTTTTACATTTTTAAAAATCACATAAATGCGAAAATGTCCAAGTCGTGATCAAATCATAAGGAATGACAGGAAAAAGAAATCTACTCAGAATTCACATTTTTCAAGATAGTCATGACATACAAATTAAGGTATTGCTACAGTCAATATTTCCCTCCTGCCTCAGTTTTATATGATACATTTTCAAACGTTGAGATGATCTGGTTGCCGCAGGTCAGAGAAAACATAAAGATGTTGCCCCTACATCAAGATCCCTGGAACCTCTTTTGTGTGGGGTCCTTTGACAATAATTGAAACAAGTCCTGTCAGCTGGTGTTGGGAAACCGGCACAGGGTTCGTTGGGCAACTGGGCAGGGGTCTTGATAAGACTTGGTGACTCATTCCAGATAAAGGGAGTGCAGGGAATCAGTTTGTCTCATGAAAGGAATGGCTGAAAAAAATTAATTCTTGAGATGAATGCTGTGGTTGAGAAGAAGTGTATCCCATATGAGTCACAGTATTGCAAAAGTTTTACCGAACAGAATCAGGAAATTCTGGCCAGGCAGCTGTTGAGATGTTTCCCTGATTAAGTACACCTGATTGTGATTAAATGGATCAATCGAAAAGCCCGTTAAGTCCTGTTTAAGCACACTGATATGAATCAGTTGAATAGAACAGCCCTGTTTTTTATTTAGTTTTCCGTTGAGCTACTTGTTCCGTTGCTCTATAGATTTTTCAATGCAAAAAATGTAACTGATCATCTCTAGTGTGCTACTGCTACCGGCACATGTTCTTGCTAAAGGGAGTTTAGCAAGAGTAGTTTAGCACTTTTTAAAATAAGGACTTTCCAGAAGAACCGTGCATTTGGCAGGAGTGACTCATCAGTTGTTTCAACATGTGGCCTGATGAGACTTACTTTTTTTTAAAACACTGACCACCTACTGCCAATCTGCTTTCACTAAATGTCCATCAGTCTTATTGGACGTCCATAGAGGGATTGCAGAATGTTTTTTGCCTTTTGTGCCACATCTGTCTCAAAAGTCCTCCTCAGTCAAAAGTGTCACATTTCCACTTTGTTCACGTAGAAACTTCCGGTTGCCGATGCTGCCGTCTTTGGTTATGCCTCCTAATCAAAGACAATAAAAATATGAAATATAGTTTCAACATCACCTGCCAACATCTCCTAAATATATATTGCAACATGTAATAAATACACTCTGTTTCAAGTACATGCTATTTGTTTTTCCCGCATAGTCCATTCCAACTCTAATTTCCTTCCTCCGACGTGTCAAACCGCTCTTGCGACACTCTCTTCAGCATCCCCTGGGTAACGTAACCGAATAATATCCTCCCAGTGCTTTGCCATTAGCTGCCGTTTCATTTTCTGAACCAAATTCTCCAACACTAAAAAGTTTTGGCAAGAAACAAAGCAACTGAAAAGGTTGCTTTGTTGAGGTCTTTTGGATATTTCTCATTCACATGGAAAATTGCAAGTTGCAACATGCCTGTTGTCATATTTCTGGTGGGAGCAGACAGGTTATTATGGTAGAGATAGATTCTATTTTTGCAGTTTGTTTTGTTAGGCACTGTAACATGGAGTTGCGTGTGAAGCATCAAGAACTATTATCATAAAAAAACATGTCTCTTTCATTAGATTGATGAGTTATTCATCAATGGAAATGAAGTTTTTTACTTTTTTATTTTGATAGGGAAAATTGATAGTTATCGTAAGTATCATAATCTAAGTAATGTTGTGACATTGTACCCCAACTTGCCAGAGAACAGCTTGACTTTTCAGGAAAACATAACGCTGAAAGCAACCGATAGTAGAATCAACTCTAAAAGACTTTGAAAAGATGAGAGTCTGCAGCAGTGCCAAATAAAGATATGTGTTACAGAGTTACACAGTAGCTCTAATTTGTATAGAACATTTGTGTAATAAGATACACTATAAAAATTAATTGAAGGTTGTTGCTGTGTGGAATGTTTATTAAAATGCGGCCCTTTGTTTCTTCAACTAAAGGCATCTAAAACCATCAAGTTGAAAGTGATTTGAAATTTCTCAACATAAACTGCCACTACTGTGGCAAACATGCCTAAAACAAATAGCCTGAAAAAAGCAACGCGTACTGGGAGGATTGCAAGCTGAATAACACAACCTAAAATGGTGTGAAGCTACACAAAAAGACATCCAAAAATACATTTCTAAACTACTTAATAACCAGTAATGGCGTGTATGCACTACTACATTTGGCATACTAGCAAATACTCACTGTAAGACTTTGCTACGGAATGACAAGACCAGGATCAATCCGAGCGCCGACATCACGGGGATCATTTTAAACAGTAACCTGAGATTGTCTTTGGGGACTTCATTTGGTTTCATTACTGCAGAGAATAAAAGAACATTGACAATGCAAACCAACTTTCCATTGAATGATTTTATGTCCATTTTATCATTGTATCAGTTGATAGCATTTCCAACAGAATTCAAAATGCCCATGTAATGCAAAAGTACAATTAAAAAAAGGCTTACAAGGACTTCTCTCCCCATCATTTTTGGCTTTGACCTCACATCTTGGGTCAGAGGTCCAGTTACTCTCTCTTATTGACAGATTACTTCTGAGATCATAAAGGCCGGTGGCAGGATCCAGGTCATGGTGGGTGGATATGGCAGCCTCAGGTGAATTTGTTAGACGATGTCCATTTAAAGTCCAGTGAATCTCAGACGTGTAGCAGTCCTTTACATGACATTTGAACAGCTTTTTACCATTTTGCAGCTTTTCATTGTCCTGTAAAATGTTGTATGTCCCTGGTGAGGAAAGACTCCATTAGAATAATGAAGCACACTAAGAAATAATATTGGTGATGAAACATTTTTTGTGAAAGACTCACCACAAACGTGTAGTTTCACATAGTTGGTAGTGTACTGATGTCCGTGGTAGAAACTGCATTGGTACTGCCCTTGGTCATCTGCTGTGATATTTTTTATCTGAACTGAGCAGTTATTGCTGTTGTTTACTCTAAATGTTTCTATCCTGTCTATGTAGCGGGAGCCTACATGCAACTCCATTTCGTGCTTGAAAACAAGCTCCTTTTTGTCCTTCTTCTGCCACTTAAAAAAATTCTCGAGATGGCTGTTAAAGCAGGTGCAAGGCAGAACGACGCTTCCATTTGGGAAACCTTTGACAAGAACTTCCTCATCACCTGCAATGAAAAAGGAGGAAAGAATTAGTCAAACCCTTAGCTATGCTGCAGTGGCAGGACACAAAGGTCTGCAACAGTGTGAAACGGGGGTTATTGAAAAAAACACTGAAAGTATTTTGATATTTAATCAAATCTGTCAGGACATGTCGGACATCGCTAAGAGATTGATTGTACAAATGTTACACACATATCATAGGTTAACAAGGGGACTATTGTTTGAATTGACCTTTTTCACTTAGTAAGAGTATAAACTGTTTGTTGATGGGCTAATGTCAGTTAATCTATGAAAAGAAAAGTATTTTTATACTACAATAGGAACTTAACCCCAACAGGTAGTGTGTTTATTGCTTAACCTCCAGAGATCCTGCGTCATCATGTGAGAACGTTGTATTTATGCCTCAGTTCTGTTTAAATCCATCAAATAAAAGTGTACTCTCACTTATTACAAAATGAAACGAATACCAAAAAAGCTGTGGAACCAGTTGAGCTGAAATGGGATTTAGACTTATTTAAAACCAAGAATGATTCTTCAACTTCCTACATTCTACAACTAATTACTTAATCTAAAAATGTAATTGAGTCCTTTAACATGTAAAATACAATCTTAAATAATGGCTGAAATTGAATTACAGCACCGTAATGCTAAAAAAATATTGTAAACACACAAAGACTTTCAGCACATGTAAGCTGCCATCTGACTTAGAAGAATAAAGGGCAGCTCAGTTAGTCTGGTCACCATGCTGATAACTAGACAATTATACATTAAAAGACAACATAAGGAAAGGTTTATGTGTTTGCATAAAAAGAGAAAATCCACGAGCAATAAGATTTGGCCTACTTTATTCATCATTTATGGGTAACAGTTGTCAGGGGACCTTCCCTGCATGCAGATAACATTGTTCAAGTGCAACAGCACTGAGCACTAAACCTGTCCGCACTCACGTGTTTACAACTGGGTGAGACATTCAGTAAAAACTAGTTCAGCCAAACATCATAAAAAATCTTATACACATTTTCGTTGAACTGCCGAGTGTCTTACCTGAGACCACGAACACCATTAAAAACCCTAGAAATGCCCGCATCTTTCCTGTATTCCGTTCCTCGAGGAAAATCTTGATTAAAAGAAAAAATCGACAGTATTTTGTTGCTGGGCTATAAGGAACTTTTACAAATGTCTACTATCAGTAGGCTCCTGATAGTGAACATTAGCCCAACTCACGCTCACTGTCTGCGTTGACTGGGAAGTGAAAGCAAATGAAGGCAAGCTCCGGAATTCCGTCATAAAAATTGGCAGTGGAAATTATTTACTAACTGTGGTGATACTCTGCCTCCCACCGAGAACAAGTGACACTAACTCTCTTTGGGCGCTACATTCCATGCATGAGTGAATATAACAAGAGTCAAAAACGCTTTATAGAGCACGAATGTAGCCATTGCATTCGTTTTTAAAGTTTTACCTGTCTCACTATGTCTATTACATTTAAAAACCTTTGTGATTAAGGGCTTTTTCGTCACTTACGCACAAAACTCTCCCCCTCCCTCCCCCCGCTCCGTTCCAATCCAAACACATCCTCCAGCCGCCCACCGCCGGGAGAAAATAGGGATCATCCGGATCGGAATGCGTCAGCTTACGTCGTGTCGACACGTTTTAAGCCTCTTTTAACATTTGTCTTTTTTCCCTGAGGACACATTCGCGAACATAACGGCAGTGCTGGATACCGAGAGGACGTCATGGGGGAGCACACGGCGTTTCTGCTGTTACTGGTGGCGACCTTGACGCTTTCATCCGAGGTGAGTACCGCGGAGAAACCGCAACCTGCGGCGGGGTGTTGTCGAGACAGTCCCGGCGTCGGAGAGGGGCCTGTGAGGGGGCCTTGTTGCCCGAAATGGCTGGAGAGCGAAGCCAGCCACGGCTCAAAATCAACTGTGTTAACTAATATAACATACGTTACGTGGCTTTTAACGGATCAAGTGGAAAAAAAAAACTATTGTACAGTCAGCAGAGATAATTTGATTATTGGCTTATCCGCGAAGCTTTGCTCCTTTTGAGATAGTAACCATTTTTTCCTGACTATTGGTTAACGTTTTGCTATTTGAGCCCACTGTCACGACATGCCTTTATGCACACAGATTTATTGCGCAATGTAAACTAGCTAACAGTCATGTCAGCGATGCTACAGGCCTATCGTTAGATGGCAGTGATTGACAGCTCGGCCCTGCCATGTTGGATGTTTTTGTTTTTCTCATGGTATTTTCAAGCCACTTTCTTTCAGTTAAAAAAAAAAAATCGATATTGAGGATTAAATTAGGTATTTCTGTCGTCTACGTGGAGCAGTTAATGTGGTCGAGGGCGCTAAGTTGCGCTAGTTTTTTCTAGAACGCTACAGATTTGCTAACCCAACGGTCAGTTCGCGTGCAGCCAGCTTGTCCTGTTGACAGCGCGGACAGTTCCGTGGCAACACAATACACACTGTTCATTTAAGCCGTTTTCATGAAGCTGTGGACTCTTAATAGACGGACATTTTTGGCACTGCTGGAGTTCGTTCTGTAGACCGAGTAAAAGGCCCAGCAGCTGGCTCGGTGCTTGGTGAAACCGCTGAGGAGAATGGTGGGGGAAAAGGGATGCAGCCTTGATAGTTTCCCACGGCAAGATGGCGCCTGTAGCTTGGTGCAGCTGCTGGGCTGGACGAGCAGAGATGCAGCTAAAGACCTGTTGGACATTGGGTGGAGAGGACACGCAAAAAAAACTAACTAACACAAACAAAAACAACCTTATTATTTGCCTCCCTCCTTGTGACTGTTCCCCTGTAATGGAGGTTCAGCTTACTGACAGTGCAGCCTCGCCAGACAAAAGCTCCTTGTGCTGCAGTATAAAGTCTGTGCAGCAGCATTATGCAGTAGATACACTTTGAACGGATATACATGACAGTGTAGATGTTCTTCGTAGCTGGGACTCGTGCACCACTTGTAGTATTGCAAGATCTAACTTTAATGATCATTGTATGTGACAAATCTAGGGGAAATTTGTTTTGAACATCACCCACGTAAATTGACTGGTGACCTATATAACACTGATACGTCTTCGCCAGCTAGATATCTTCCATGGTCCAATAATGTTCCCTTTATGGCCATTCGCTCTCTTTGAGGCAGGGTGAGTCAAGAGGGAAAAAGCAATAAATATTTTGAAAGTCATGACTGCGCATTTGAAGAATGCCGCTTATCCCCAGGTATGACAGGTGGAGTTAGTGTAATTTGACTTGGCACAAGGAACATGCACATTGACAAAAAGTTCATGACCAGGTTTGTCTTGGGCCAATACATTTTTTGAGTCAGCAAAGCATGTAAGAAAAACAGCTTTACATGCACAGTTTAAGATGTAGAAACTTTTTGTTTTTAAATATCTCAGCTCATTTTGGTCATTTGACTTATGGCATCATCAGTCTTTTTTGAGAAATACCAGAAAAATGTGTGTTTGGGAACCAAAACAGACCAAGACTTCCTTGGATTGTTGTCTCAAATGTAAACAGTAACGCAGTGGTTTGTTATTTGGTTGATGGTCAAAGTTAAAAGGGGACGTTGGCTCTTAAATTAGATTTTCAAGTTGAATTTGAATAGATTATTTTTCTGTGCTTTTGAAGTTTTTTTTCTAGCCACAGTTCCTTTCTCTAATGAAGGAAATGTCTTGGGCCAGACAAACAAAGGTTACATTCGCTGCCCAGTTGCAATAATCCTTACATCTGTGTTGACTTGGCGTTGCTGTGTTGAGGCTTGCTGACACCAGTTGTCACAGAGAGTGTGTGACATTGAGTCTAGAGGGAAGAATCAATATAAGTGGAGTAAATGTACTACAATGACAAAGCTAAGTTATACAGTCTTTTCTGATGGTTGTCTGTTTTTTTTGTTTTTTTTTGCCACTTAGGTTCCTTTGGATGACTCCATGGCTTTGCTAATCGAGCCTCAGGTGGCCATGTTCTGCGGGAAGCTCAACATGCATGTAAATGTACAGAGTGGCAAATGGGAGCCGGACCCCTCTGGCACCCAGAGCTGCATTGGCACCAAAGAGGGCATCCTGCAGTACTGCCAGCAGGTATGGAGGCAGTCACACAGCACTGCGGAGATGGAGAAAAATGGAGGAGCAGAGAGATCAACAAGAGCCGCTTATGCGGGAATGAGCAGTTAAAAGAAAACTCTCATCTGCAGGTGTACCCTGAGGTGCAGATCACCAATGTGGTGGAAGCCAACCAGCCCGTCAGCATTCACAACTGGTGCAAGAAGGGCCGCAAGCAATGCCGCAGCCACACCCACATCGTGGTGCCGTACCGCTGCCTGGGTAAGCAGTGCACAGGACACGGGTGGTGTCGGTGTCAGTGAGTAGATGCATGTTAAAAATTGCGCCTTTTTGAAAACTAAAACTGGAATGATTATGTTGCAGTGGGGGAGTTTGTCAGTGACGCCCTGCTTGTTCCTGATAAGTGTAAGTTCCTGCATCAGGAGCGCATGGACCAGTGTGAGAGCCACCTGCACTGGCACACCGTGGCCAAAGAGGTGAGGGTTCTGCCTGTAACACGCCCTAATCTGATTCTGGCTTCTGTTTTTCTTTCTTATCTGTTTTTGGGATAGCCCGGCATATTAGTCAGCGTTCAATGCTTCCCTCCCATTTCCTCGGATGTTTCATAGTCTGTCACGTGTTGGCGTATTTTTTGAAAATTAGAAAGAAAATCTGGCTTGCTGTGTCACAATAATTAGCTTTCATCATCTTTTCCTCTCCTTTTTTTTTTTTTCAAACTAGTCCTGCGGAGACCGCTCGATGAATCTCCATGACTACGGGATGCTGTTGCCGTGTGGAATCGACCGCTTCCGAGGGGTCGAGTTTGTGTGCTGCCCCATGGAGGGCGAACGGGAGTCGGACAGCAGTGAGCCAGAGGGGGAGGAGTCTGACGTGTGGTGGGGCAGGGCTGAGGCGGAATACGCCGATAACAGGTGGGGCTCACCTGAGCACGTCCATCTCCGGCCGCTCACAGCCGCTGACGCACACACTGAACTGACCGCTCTGTCCCCCAGCATGACGCGGCCAGCAGACACAGAGCCAGCCACCACAGAGGACGATGAAGACGAGGATGAAGAGACGGAGACTTTCGACAGGGACGAGGACGGAGATGGGGACGAAGACGATGACGATGAAGAAGAAGAGGACGACGACGTGGTTGAAGAGCGGGACAGCGACGAACGGAGCGCTAGCATCGCCATGACAACCACCACCACCACCACCACTGAATCTGTGGAGGAAGTCGTGCGGGGTACGGCATCGCTTCGAATGCTTTGCTTTATAAAACCCTCTTTTGGTGTTTGGAGTCATTTTCCACAAAACCTTAAAGCCCATGTTTTGCTCTCAACTTTTTATTTATTTATGTTTGCTTTGGTGTTTAATTCCATGTGCCTGTGTGTACATCACCTCAGCGGTTTGTTGGGCGCGTGCGGTCTCAGGCCCGTGTCACGACATGCTGGAGCGCTGGTACTTCGTGCCTAAGAAGGGCCGCTGTGCTCCCTTCTTATATGGGGGCTGTGGGGGCAACAGGAATAACTTTGAGTCGGAGGAATACTGCCTAGCTGTCTGCAGCAGCTCGAGTAAGTTCCTGGACTGGAGCCGAACCCCGACGCGTCCACCTCCCCAGCCTGATTCCTGTCCTCAGGCGGCTGCAGACTGCTTCTCTGTCTCACCATTTCTGTTTCTAACAGGCCTGATTTCTCCTAACCAATCAGAGCTGTGATCACTGGATTCTATGCTTATTCTGGTCATGGGTTGAGTTGCACATTATATTATTTGTTCTAATTTTTTAGAACCTCTAATTTTTTAGAAGCCACCAATTTTAAGAGACCCGCATATCTTAGTTTCATTTTGCTTAAATATGACCACAACTATTTAAAGATGTGAACACATAGTGTTGCATATCCCTAAGATGTTATCTTGCATAGATGGAACAAACAGAAAGCTGCTTAACATTTCAGTCAAGTGTTTTGCTGAACTGGGTTGAAATGTAGGGACCATCTATACTTCCTATAATTTTGTGCCCATGCTATTGCAGATAGGAAAAAAAGACCCAAAAGTTATGTTTTCTCCTGTAATTTAATTTTTCATAAATATAAGAGTAAAATAAAAAAATTCAAGGTAAAAGTCGACTAACAATAAAGCGTTATAATAATAATAATGATGAAGCTGAGCAGTTTTTTGGGGAAAAAAGTCCACTTTACTTATTGTGCTTCATAGTAAACTGTAAGATGAGACATTGTCAAATGGGAGTAAATATAGATCCGGCTCCCTTATGAATGTTTTAACCTCCCATATTTTTGTCAAGAGACCATATTGAAAGGAACTTTTTTAACGTAGTTTGATCCAGTAATACTAACTGATGCCTCCTACAGCATGAGGCTGCCGCTGTGTGAAATGTAAGTGTTTGCATGCCTGTCTCAGTCTGTACCAGCATGTTTGGTTCGGTATTCTGTTCTGTGGGAGCCCGTGCCCACAGTTATAACTCCATGTTGTCTTTGTGTGTTTTAACCTGCATTGTGCTCACAGCCAAAAAGTGTGTTTGTGTGAATGAGAGGGAAGGTTTTTTTCTTTCTTTCTTTTCTCTCTCTTTTTCTCTTTTTTTGAAAGGGAAAACAGGTTGATGTATTGCCATCACCCTGTGAAATGTAAGCCAGCCCTGATCCTGACTCAGAGCTTTGCATCTTATCTCCCACACAAAATGATGGCACAGATGAACACACACACCTATTTATTACAGGAAGCTCTACCCTCTGGGTCCTCTGACTATCTGTGTGAATCTCATGTGTAATGTGTATGTCTGTGTATATTTTGGATTGTTTTTTTGTATGCCCCTAACCTTTGATATCAAATTAACCCACATGTTTGTCAAGGAAATGCGGATTGTTGCCTCTGGGAATGTTTTGTTTCACTCCGAGAAGTATCCCTGTTTTTCCTTGCATTTACTTCTCACTCGCCATACCTTGAGCCAGCTCATGCCGTCCCGTTCTGCTTTTGATTCACCCTGTCCCCTCCCCCGCAGTGCCCACAACGGCCCCCAGTCCCCCGGACGCCGGGGATCAGTACCTCCCATCTCCAGGAGACGAAAACGAGTACACCGATTTCGAGAGAGCCAAAGAAATCCTGGAGACCAAACACCGTGAAAAGATGTCCGAGGTGTGTGCGCTGTCTTTGTCGAACACGTAGCTGCCGGCGGATCTGCTGTTGAGCAATCCAGTTTCATCTGTGGAGGCTAAATCCCTCAGTGGGACTGTGATTTGGCCTTCACCTGATTGTGTTGATATTCAGGTGATGAGGGAGTGGGAAGAGGCTGAGAGACGGGCCAAGAATCTTCCACGGGCTGACAGGAAGGCACTCATCCAGGTGGGGATATGTCCTAATGCTCAGCTTTATCGTATGAAGGCGTAGAATTTCTGTCCAAATATTTGGATTCAATTTGATTTTAGTGAAGTGTACCCTCCGTGTTTTTTTTTTGTTTGTTTTGTTTTTTCTGAACCCACTTTCTTCTGCATCATCCAGTGTAAATTTTGATTTCCCGCACAGTGTTCACTGATAAAATGCTTCATATCGTGCAGCACTTCCAGGAGAGGGTGGATGCTCTGGAGCAGGAGGCGGAAGGGGAGAGGCAGCAGCTGGTGGAGACGCACATAGCCCGGGTGGAGGCTCTGCTCAACAGCCGTCGCCGTGTGGCTCTGGAGAATTACCTCAACGCTCTACAGGCCAACCCCCCACGGGTACAGCACACACACACACATTCGTTACACACTTCAGTCCACTCCCTGGCAAAGGGGGAGAGCTTTCAGGTTCCGTGTTTATCCTAAATACAAAGGTAGTTGCTACATTTGTCCGGCGTGTAACAGTCCCTCTGTCAATCCTGCCGCCAGCAGCCCCGTCAGGTGCTGACCCTGCTGAAGAAGTATGTCCGTGCCGAGCTGAAGGACAGGGAGCACACGCTGAAACGCTACGAGCACGTCCACACGGTCAATCCAAAGAAGGCCGCGCAGAGCCGACCTCAGGTATCGACACGCACTCAACCCACACCTTTTTAAAGTTTAGACAGTGATCGTTTCGTTGGTATTGACTCAAGAATTGGACTCTTCGCCGTAGGTTCTGACTCACCTTCGAGTGATTGAAGAGAGGATGAATCAGTCGTTGGGGTTGCTCTTCAAGGTGCCCGTCGTGGCTAATGCCATCCAAAACCAAGTCGGTAAGCACTCACCTTTCCTTACCGTTAAAGATCCGTTTTCACCGGTCCGGACATGTCAGCTCAATGTTGTTTCAGGTGGAGCCAAGATTTCTTATTTGTTCTGAGTGCCTGGTAGCATCTCACTGATACAGTTGAACAGTCTGAATCATTTCTGGAAATGCTTTCAGGTGCAGTCTGAGGGATGGAAGTTTTTTCTAAAATTCAAGAAAACTGCTGCCATGATTTCAACTGCATTTTCTCTGAATTGGTTGGACAGCTTTAGAAATGAAATATTGTCTACATAGGGATGTTATTTCACCCAATGATGCTTCATTTAATTTTTTTTTTTTAATGAAGGCGTAGAATCACACCAAGAGTGCTTTAACTGCCTCTCGGTGTGACTTGGGTAATGCTTAATTAAGTCCTTCAAGTAGGTCAAGATGCCCGGCGACCTTCAGCTTTTTAAGTTGAGTCCAATTTGAACCGAGATGTTTTTCAGGCTTCTTTTTTGATTAGAACGATAGCTGATCATGAATAAGGACTCTCTTATAAATCCTGCCTGCTCCTCTTTAAGATGGAAGGCAGCATTTTGCAGGCTTCACTAATTGGGTGACCCTGCAACCTCGGGTGGTGCTGAGTGAAGAGTTTTACGGCGTGCCTGAAGTCCCCTGATGAATGGCGTGCTTGTGAAACAACATTCTCAGTAATCAGGATGCCTGATGAAGCCCCCCCGCCCTCCCATCCGTGACACACTGCCGTCACGCTCACTTTACGGCCTCTCTTCGCAGGGATAATTATGCAGAGGGTTCAGTCGGAGCTATCTAAGCAAGTCTCCTCCCTGCAGAGCGACGGGCGGGTGAGTCAGGTTGAACCCACTCACACACATGCTTCCCCCATTTGTGAGTAATTACCTCTGAGGGATGGGAAGGATGAGACAAAAGTCACGATGCACACAAAAGCTCGAATGCTGACCAAGATGGCAAAAAGGTGGGTGCGTCGTGATTGAGGCTCTGCTCTGCACCCAGGTGGACGGCAGGGTGAGTTACGGCAACGACGCCCTGATGCCCGACCAGACCTACAGCTCCGCCCCCATGGAGCCCGGCCTGGACGGGTTTGGCTTCATTCACCCGGAGAGCTTCAACCAGCCGAACACTGAGAACCACGGTAGCTCTGGCTTCACAGATCAGAACACACAGAGGTTTGGATGGAGTTCAGTCCCGTTTTTCATTGAACTTTTCGTCCCTCTAGTTGAGCCTGTTGATGCGCGTCCAAATCCAGACCGAGGACTGCCCACCCGACCCGGTACGCATATGTTCTGCAGATGTCGCCGCTTTTTCGATCGCTCGCTACCTGGCTCACTGTTTGCTCGCTTTCAGTTTCCGCCCTGAAGCCAGAGGAGATGCCAGAAGTGAGGATGGAGACTGAAGAGAGGCAGAGCGCCGGTTATGAAGTTTACCATCAAAAGCTGGTGAGACAGCACACAACTGAGATCCAAAAGATCCAACATTCGCCATTGAACTGCCGGCATGGTGCGATATCCTGTTTTCAAAAAAACAAACATCTTAATGGCAGGTGTTCTTCGCTGAGGACGTGGGGTCCAATAAGGGTGCCATTATCGGGCTCATGGTGGGAGGGGTCGTCATAGCGACCGTCATCGTCATCACTTTGGTGATGCTGAGGAAGAAACAGTACACATCTATTCACCACGGCGTGATCGAGGTAAGACGCTGAGGCGGAGCGCGGGGGCGGCTGTTGTGTTCTGTTGTGGGGGCTGTGGCTTTACGAAACTCCCTCCATGTTTCTGAAGGTGGACGCCGCAGTGACCCCAGAGGAGCGCCATCTGGCCAAGATGCAGCAGAACGGCTACGAGAACCCAACTTACAAATTCTTTGAGCAGATGCAGAACTAAAGAACTCCTCCTCCAGCGTTTCCCCGGGATGCATCTTAGCCACATTCACCCCCTCTTTCGGGTCTGTTCCATCCTGGGTCCTTTGCCACAGACCCTTCATCTGCATCCCTCTTCCTGCTCAGGAGGCGGAGGCTGTGTAGAAGCTGTTTTTCCATCTTCCAGGCTTTGCATGTCGCAGTCAGGCGGGTTTTGGACAAAGGAAACTGGCATGGAACAAAGCTTGTAAACCCTTTTGCCACAGTTAGAGAGAGCTACTTTCCTGTCAGCTGATAAGACGTTGGTATCCTGTTTCACTCGCACATTTCAGCCAATCACAGGTCTTCATAGTGTTTGTGCTGGAAGAACTATCCTGTTTAGAGACCAGAACCACATGAGAAAGTGTCCCCCCCCACCTGCCCACTCACCTGCTCTCAGGTGAGAGATGAAGGCTCCCAGAGCACCTTGCCACACGTTTGAAGTGTTTCGGGTTTGTTTTACTTTTAAAAAAAGAAAAGAAAAGGGTGGAAAAAAAGCTGAAAAAATATACGTCAACAAAATAGATATTTAATTTTTTTTTTATGTGTAAGATACAAAAATACTAAGACAAAGACTAGTTGTAAGTAAATGTAGTGCATGGCAATATCGATGACTGATTAAAGTATTCTATATGTGGAGCTCCTCCGGAGCGCTCCTCTAGATATTTTAGCAGGATTGTACATTTCTAGTGTCTTCTTTGTGACCTTGTGATATGAAGAAGAAAAAGATTATCCAGAATCTGGTCTGCTTTGTTGTCACAGACTTGCTTTAACTGAATCTTTGGCTCTGTCTGCTCATGTCCACGCTTCACCGTTGTGTTAGCTGCATGGGCAAACCGCTCCTTGCATTCGTGATCATATGAAGTGTAACAGTATCCCAAAAGGAAGATGATTGTGTCACTTGTTTGCGTTCTATGCACTTTTTAATTTTTGAAGGCTGATTACCACCAAATATCATTATTATTATTATTCTTGCTGTTAATTCTCATGTCACTGCACTTTTTCTTTAAGAAAGCGTATCATTCCAGGTGTTGATTGTAAATATTTGAAAGATGGAGGTCTGGCTCTCATGGCGAGTTTCATTATCGTGTGCTGTTCTTTATTTTTATCTATCCAAAAATCCCCCCCCAAGTTCAGCGTGTATTTAAGAAACAGGACCAATTGGGCCTAAAAAGATTAGAATCTCACATTCCGTCACTAAATCGCGTTCTATTTTTCTACATCTGCTGTGTAAACATGTACAGTGCTTCTGTTTGTCCTGTGGTAAACGTCTCTTTGTCTGCATATATCTGTTGTCTAGTCTGTCAGAGGAGGCAGCAAAGACCACGCATCACCCACGGGAAAAACATTCACCCCTCCATGAGCTATAACATGAATGTGAGCTGCTTTTTCTGCATTATTCTAGAAGTATGACACATATCACCCCCACACGTGTACAGACACCAGCTGAAGCTCTTAATCAGGTGAATGTTTGAAGTTTGTATTGATGCTCACTCTGGCTGTCTTCGGAGCACAGCGACTGAAAAATGTTTTCTCTCATTGATCCGCTGTACGCAATCCAATGGAGCATTTGCTTAGAGTTAAGAAAAAGCTTTCTACACTCACCATACCATGAATAAAATTTTGAATGTACAAAGAAGTGTCATGTCTCTTTTGCTTAAAACATAGACGTTGCACAAGTTATTAGAAAATGCTTGTCACTTTATTCCCCCCTGGTGGACAAAAAGAGTCCAACGATTTAGGGAGAAAAAAACTAAATAAAATACAAAACGGGTCCTCTATAAATGGAAAATATGAAAATACACTTGCCCTCGTGGCTATCAAAAAAACAAAGAGTATCGGTATATACAGTGGAAAAGATCCTCAACTACAGATAAGTAATGCACAACACCAAGCCTGTAATGGGTCTCAGTCACACGCCAGCTTTCAATCACACACGCCACAATCAGTGATCTCATTCTCCCATTATTCTGAACACGCTTTCCTTCCAGAAAAGCTAGAAAACTTCCAACTGCCTCAATCTAACTTAATCAAACAGCCAAGACGGTAAAAAAAAAAAAAAAAAAGGCTGTTGATCCCCCCTGATCGGGGATCAGGCCTTGCATCGTTGTGCCTGACGGCCTCATGATTTTCCCACCAGCAGTGACCTCCTTCAGCTGTCCTTATCTAGTGTGGCGGCGGTGGCCAGCGTCACTGTAGTGATGGGCTGCCCGATTCCGTGCATCTGCATGCGAGCCAGTTTCTTCTGCTCACACTCGGTCACCAGGCCGTTGAGCTCCGCCGCGCTGTAGCCGATCAGAGTCCGCAGGTCGCACACAAACTTGTAGACGAAGCGCTTGCCCTGAACCTTGCTGATCATGTCTCCGTCGTAGTAATACCTGACAGACGAGACAGACGTCAAACTCGTGTCCGGATGAATTCACATATCAAGCATATCAAAAAGTCAGAGGTGTCATATTCCTTTGTGCTCATTTGACTGTTAAATCGTAACATAAAGCGTCTGTCATCACCTGTTTTTTTTTTAAAGATTTTTAAAAAGAACAGGGAAGTTCTATTTAATAAAAGGAAGACATGAATATATGAAACAGGAAAAAAAAAGCTAACCTGAGGGCTCGGCTGAGTTTCTCATAATTCATGGTGGGTTTGTTCTTTCGCTGGCCCCATTTCTGCGCCACGAGCTCCGGCTGGTTGAGTTTGAACTCCCCCTCTTCGCCCACCCAGGAGATGCAGTCCCGCGCGTCCTTGTCCGTCAGCAGCTCCAGCAGAAACTGCCACAGCTGGATCTGACCATTGTTGCCTGGTATCAAGGAAACAAGGATTACTACATAATTACATTCACTTGCAACAAGATTTTATTTTTTTAAATCACTTCCTTTGAGAAGCCTGGGGTTAACTTTTCGTTTGGCCTGAGCTACCTGTGCGGTTGCCGGGCGAACTGCGCTCCTCTCCAGAGATGCGGGGTGTCCTGGGGCCACGGCTCTGCTTCAGGACCTTAATCGCAGTGGGTGTGCTCACCTGAGCTGGAATTATCTGTACAGCTGGAGAGACCAGAGGTGCTGTGAGTGCTCAAAGTGGGGAGCGGCCGCAGCTGACTGTGCGGGCGGGCCATCGCTGCGACACCTACGCTGATCAATGGTGACGGTGGCGTCGCCTCCGCTCTGGTCCTGGCTGGCCAGCACATCTGACACAGACATAGGAGGAGTCACATTCTGTGTGATGCTCGGCTTTTACAGACAACACACAGCGGTTTTTCTCCCTGACCCGGGCCCCGGCTTACATTTGCGCAGGAGCTCCAGGTGACTCCACAGTATCTCTCCATTGGGCACTTTGTGAAGAAACTCTTCCTGGCTGAAACCACAGAGGTCTCTGCCCGGGATGTGAATGCTCCCGATTTCCATCTCATCGATGTTGAACTCCTTCATGACCCACACCGCCCAGTGGATCACCTGATCAGCTGTCCAGAGCAGAGGGTCTACAGAGAGACAGAGTTACTATGAACTGCTGCTGTGTGGAGACAGAGAGAGCTGGCAGCGCTGTGAGGCATGTGAAGTGCACGTTCCTCACCATATGGAATGCCCAGGCGAACCTGCTCCTTGCGGTAGCCTTCCAGAGCCGCAGCCCAACGTGTAACCTGCTCCGAGGTCTCATCGGACAGAGCGGAGCGCTCCACGGCGATGAGCTGGCCCTCCTCCACCAGAGCCCCCTCCTCTCCTGCTGCATCTGGATCGATCACCACCTCTACCGTTTCCACCGGCTTCACAATTTCCAAAATGTTCAACTTCTCCTCTCCTGTTCAGGGAAAGAATGCGAATGATCAGCCTTTTGGACAAACCAGCATTACACAACTGACTTACTGGTTCAACTGGTACCTGGTTTGGCTATAATCTGCAGGCTGAGCTGCACTGTCCCGTCTGTTTTTACCCCCTGATCGAAAAGGCTGTGGTCCGGGTGGAGCTGAATGGATGGATGTGATAAACAGAGATAAGGCTGAGATGATGACTCACATTGCACACCAGCACCCAATACATGGATAAAATCAAAGGTGACTACTTCCACAGGGTTTTTAAATGTGACTTTGTTACCTGAATGTCTTGTAAGCAGATCTCAAATGTATCCAGAGAGATTTGGACGCGAGGCTCCAGGAGCTTCTTCAAATTCCCAATCGGCTCATTGATGTCGATATCTTGTTGAATCAAATCAGAAGCAGTGATGGTATGCTCCTCTACACTAAAAGTGAAAGGCAATATGAAAAATAAGAGTAAACGTCCCATTTGTTCACAAACTAAAGTATTTTATTCATATTTAGATGTTTTTTCTTGGCTCACCCTTCCTCCAAGCAGGCTTGTTTCTCCCGTTCGTCTATCTCTATTTCTATCATCTCTTCTGCCTCACTTTTAGCCATTCTGTTTCGGAAATAGCTTTGGGACAACAGTGACAGGAAGTTTAACACCCACTCATTACAAAGTCACAAAAAAAAATTCCATTCTAGAAAATTAACATGACACGGTGAAAATCATAAATCATATTTTTAATGGTACATGTAGACTGCAGGGCACTTATTCAAATAAATAAGACTAACACATTTAAGACACAAACGTTGCTGGGGGTTTCCCCCCCCATATGTTTCATGCTTCCATTTTAGGTTAAAGGAACCACCTCTGAAAACCAGAAAGGCTGTACAGTGAAAGCTTTAAACATTTCACAACACAGCAGAAAAATGTATCTGTTTACTGGATCACTCTGCATTTAGGAGCAGGCTCTTAGCCCATACAAAAAAGCGAAAAATAACAGTGATTAATATTTTACACATTTTTTTAATCTGCCATGATATATCACGATGTCAATATAAACAGAGAAAGTCGCTCCCCCCCATATAAAGGCCTCTCAGCCTCGACTCCTCATTGGCCGTCTGGGACAGTTCACTGACTGCTAACATTAGCCGACTCGAGGGCGAGGCTTTGGCTTTTAAAGGCCAACTGATAGGCCATTAGTGGAAAGAGATAGTAATTAAACAGAATTATACGTTTATATTATTGACGTTAAAAACCACACACGACAAGTATTCATCCGCAAGGCAACACGTGTGGCCGCTAAGTTTGCCTGGCCTACGTTAAAACAAGTTAGCTCCAAATAGCCGTGTGAGGCGAGGCGAGTGCAATACACAACCGTAGGTACGCGCATGCTAAACAAGTGTTAAAATATCCTTAAAATGCCGTGCACTTCATGACTTTAGCGTACGTTCATTAAACCACATTATATCTCTGCACGTACAAAACTTTTAAAACGGAAATAGAATAAACGGAAACAAAACAGCATAGGGCAAATGGAAAGGAGCCGGAAATCCTGGCTAAGGTTTACAGCGTTACAAGACTTCCGAGGGCAGCTGTGATCAACACAACTCACTAGCGCTAAAAGGAGACGGCAATACTCTTAAAAACACAATTGACTTTCGACCCCAAATTCACCAAGAAGAAGGGACTACAATACAAGTTTCACCTCCTTGGGATTTATACCCACTCTGTGCCTTGGCGGTGGTCTGCGTAGCGTCGCCCCCCAAACAGTGTGCTCTGCTTTATCTTTAGCCACCCAGCTAATGTTTACTGGTTTAAAAACTTAAGCTGATTCTGTTTTCCAGCAAATATCTTTCTGTCCCCTTTATCCTCGAGCCGTTACGATTTCAATCTAGCTTTAGAGGAAGTGGACTCCTACCGCTGTCTGGTCTGAAGTTGGGCGGCTTCTTCCCCGTACGCTGAATAGTACCAAGCTACAGCTAGCTTGGTTAGCTTAGCTGGTGGAGCTACAAAATAGCGGGAAGTGTCCGGGGATGACAAACAGAGCCGCTCACATCACTGCAGAATAGGATATATTTCCCACAACAGACATACATATACAGATATGCCTACCTTCTTTAAAGTTCGGACTTTTAATAGAAGTTAAGTATGTTTCACTGTAGTAGAAAAGCAGCAAAAATTCACACAGTCGAGTCGTGTCTTGCAAGTTTTTGCCAACGGTGGAGGGGCGGGGACTAACGGGTAATACTGAGCTTACTTTAAAATCCAGAAAGCTAAATATGTCAGGTACATGCGTTTCAGCTTTGGGTTGTAATAAAAATGTATGTAACTTTTTTTTTAACCGCTTATACTCTGTTAGCAATCAATTATAACAATTGCCAGTGCTCTATTAAAGTGGTCTTACAGGGTCTACCATCATTCTGAAAAAGTAATAATTGTCACATTGACTGTCTAATAAAGTTGGTTTAAATATTCCTTTGCATCCCTCTTATTGACAGTGTCACTATGCCTTTTCTGCTTTGTTTTTTGTTTGAATTGATATTGGTTTATATTCGAAAATGGCCTCATGGGAAAGTGGTAGGCTTATGTTCTTCATATACCAATATTTGACAACACGTTAAAAGAAATAGTCCAACCTGTTGCTTGTAACAACTGAGATGTCATGCCATTTTAGAATTTTCCACAAAGACTTGTGCAGAAATTTTATTATAAAAGTCACAAATGCTTCTAAAAACATCATAACTGCACAGTTGAATAAAGAAAAAAATCACTTTAAGGTACTCTATCTGTGTGTAGCCCTTTATCTATTGCAGTGTAAATTGAGCTACCCTGTATTGACATGTTGTAGGATGACAAGAGACAAATTCAGTACAACAGATCTTACAAATAGATGTCTACACCTAGACAGACATCATTTACTAATTGAGCTTTTTTATTTCAAATTAAGACTTTACTAGAAAACAATATCAACATAACCTAAGCTTTATTTAGGTTGTGTTCAGTAATGGGATACAGAGTGAAATGGTTTTCTATGTTGTCAGTTTTCTATTAAATAATTTTTTTGTCTTTTAGTTACTTTTGTTTTTTTTGTCATAGTTTTTCTGTTCCTGTTCTGAATATTGAATTCATGCTGGTCAAATGATGTGGACTACGAGTAACAATTTGTTATGTCTATTTCATTGATTTTTACTACTCAAGCATCAAGATTGTGCCCTTAAAAGAGAGTGAAAATCAAAAGGTCAGAAGTATACATCTATAGAAAATGTCTATAAGATTTATTTTTTCTTTCACTTTAGCTGCTGTGACCTACAAACCAATACATTTACCCTCAAGAATATGCATTATCTTACTAACAAACTGTATTTGTTAGGCCTGACTGTGAAGCACTTTGTATGGTTCTCTTGGAATTCATGACATCATGTAACCTTTGTTTTAAAATGGATATAGTAAATCATTCCCTTTACTAATTTAAGTCAGAGGCAAGTTACTCTTCTCTTGTCATACAAAGGGTTTACGGTCCTTGTTTTTTAAGGTGCTATATTTCTTTTACTGTTTAGCAGTGCATGTAAGTAAGGAAGTCAGGAAAAAAATTAGTACTTTTGTTTCGAAAATCCAACTCGGAACTGAAATTGCCCATTTTGTCGGTCACTTCCGATGAATGTGAATGACTTTCAAAATAAAAATGAATAAACAAATCAAAAACATTTTCACGCTTTTCATGTTTTTATTTTTGATTCAACGCACAACGCATCCGTTGATTATTAACCTGTTTTCAATTAATCACTCGTTCATAGTCCTTTGAATTAAACTTTGATATCGTAGATTCGCAGGTTAAATAAAGTCTGCAAAAATTCTTTTATCATGAATGCGGCAGTCAGGCGGAAGTGTTCTAGTTGATGCTGCATGTTTGAACACTGGTGAGCCAAGATGGCAGAATACCTGGCATCCATTTTTGGGACAGAGAAAGATAAGTAAGTATTTAATATTAACTTGGTTAATTACTTGATTTATTGTTAACTTTTTACTAAATTCGATTTGACTGGCAGCACTAAAGCAAGTTGTGTTTTCAGCCCTTGACAATCTCCTAGCTGTGGCTGTGTACTGCTAGTGCTAGCTAACTATCGTCATTAAAATAAAATACCGCGCATCGACCGTTATGCCTTTACACTTTGTATGTGTTTATCTGTGATGGGATATATAGAGACAATGTAACGGAAATAGTACTCTATGTTTTTTCATTTGACATATGTGTTCAAATTTTTGAGGAGCACTGGTGTTATACGAACTACCACCTGCGTTTGAATTAGCTAGCATTAGCGCAGGCTACAGAGCGTGCGTGAACCCGACCCACGTCTTTGTTACAATGAAAACATAGATACCAAAAAGCCAGCTATGACAAACATACAGATATCCTGCCATTAATCCAAACTTCTTTCCTCAAACCCCTCGTGTCTGCTCTCAGTGGATAAAATATAGCCAAAGGATGTGTGTCCACTGTTCTGTGCAGCCTGAAAGGCCTGTATATCAGTCCTCTTAACTCATTCTAACCATGTTCTCTTTTCCGTTTTTTAATTTAATTGTATTGCTTTAGTGCTGAAAAATGATCCAAAAATCTTAGTAAATACATTTGAAGAAAAGGTCTTAAAGTGACATCTTATATAATAGAGGAACTTAGTTAAATTCTGAACTTATTCTGATTATTTGATTATAAATATAAGATGAAAAACATGCCGAAGAATAAGTGAAAGAAACTCATGCATTCAAAATTGCATACTTGTTTTTTATTTTATTTTTTAGGTGTACTGATATGTGCATCTTCTACATGCGATAGCGTCGTTATACATTATCCAACTTATCCTTTGTGTTTACAGCATTTATTGACCTCCTCTCATTTTCATTAACTTATTTTCTGTCTTTTACAGGGTCAACTGCTCTTTTTATTTCAAAATTGGTGCCTGCCGTCATGGCGACCGCTGCTCCAGGTTACACAACAAGCCAACATTTAGTCAGGTAATTTCATTTGTAGATAATGGATTATCATGGCTGATTGTTGCTGAAAGAAATCATTTGCCTTATGGTCTGATTTTAGCAGAGCATGGCTGCATCTGTTTGTTGTGCTGTTGTTTTTGCTCAAACATCTCCCCCTCTATTATAAATCTTATCTTATTTAAATCTTTTTAATCTCTCATGCTACTTTGTTTTCCTTCAAATTAATTGAAATATTGTGCTATTATTTAGGCAACAGTAGGTATTGATCATGTAAAAGAAACATTAGCAGATCCCTGTTATCCTTTTTTGTTGCTGACCTGGTTTCTAAAGGAAGCCATTTATTTATTTGCATATGGGACAGTTAACTGAAATCTGACTCACAAATGCCACTGATATTTTGGAGAATATTGAAATAAAAGACACAATATATAATTCCTGATAGTTTGGAAATTAGTTACTCAAGTAATACATATATTTTCTCTGCTCATCTTTGTTTTGATGCTCAACTCTGATCATCCACTGTTGTTGTTTTTTTTTTTACAATTTTTTAGACAATTGCCCTGCTGAATATCTACAGGAACCCTCAGAACAGTGCCCAGTCTGCCGATGGTCTGACCTGTAAGTGAAAAGTTGCAAACGCCCTTTGTCCAAATCTTAACATGCCATGCTTTTTAAGATCTTATTTTTCAGTCTGTATTTCTGCCCCATCCCAAAATGAAGTGTTTCAGTTGCTTAGTTCACCACTGTAATTCTTATCTTATTATGGAGTTTGTCTTTACCGCCTAAATTGTAACAGAAAAAATTATATTTGTTTGCCACCGAATGGTACACCAGCCCCTGTAAGGTTTACTTTACCCAGGTGCCAACAGAAGAAGAAAATGAGGCTATGGGTGGCAAACCACAAACTGAAGCAAATATGAAATAGATATATAAACTTTGTGCCAAGCCGCACTGCTCCCTCCCAGTGTCCCATTCCACAGTCCTGTAGCCGTGGGATGGCGGAGGGTGATGTGCGGGGCAAATCTGAGCTACGTGAAGAGCAATGACTCGAATAGTCATTGTTCTTCACGTAGTGTGAAAGAGTTCATTTAAGGTGGCCATAACGTGTCCTCAGTTTGTCAGCTTAAATGGAAAAACTAAAAAATGTAAAGCTCTGAGCTTATTTTGTTCTCTATTCTCTCTTAACCGAAAGGTACCATCAGTGATATGGAGATGCAGGAGCACTATGATGAGTTTTTTGAGGTAACTCCTTCTCTTGTGTTGATTGTTCTCCCAACGATAAGTTAGGGGACAATGGTCTGTTCTTTGGAAAGTATCTGGAATCTTTCTTTACAACGGATATGTACACCATGTGGCCATATTGAATAGAATAATACTTGGAATTTTTTGATGTACTGTTTTTTAAAATAGTATTAGAACAGAGAACTTAGTATTATCTGGTTCTTACAACTCAACCTCAGTATAACTGCTCATATAAAATGTCAAGACTCCTCTATCTTTCCATCCTTGCAGGAGGTCTTCACAGAGATGGAGGAAAAGTACGGTGAGGTGGAGGAAATGAACGTGTGCGACAACCTGGGCGATCACCTTGTCGGCAACGTTTATGTGAAGGCGAGTCTCGGACACAGAAGCGGAACCCCCTGGCGTTACATTCTGCCTGACTCCTGTGAACCCCCTCTTGCTTTTTTTCTTGGCAGTTCCGGAACGAGGAGGATGCTGAGAAAGCTGTGATAGACCTGAATAACCGGTGGTTTAATGGACAGCCCATCCACGCTGAGCTCTCTCCCGTCACCGACTTCAGGGAGGCCTGCTGTCGCCAGTATGAGATGGGGTGAGCTGAGGAGGAGGCCTTCCATCCCACACAATCGTTACAAATAAGCCTTTCCAGATTTTTCTGAGTGTGATGCCCTATGTGCAGGGAGTGCACCCGTGGTGGTTTCTGTAACTTCATGCACCTGAAGCCCATCTCCCGCGAGCTGAGGAGAGAGCTGTACGGACGCCGCAGGAAGGGGTACGAACCGGCTCCCGCACACCCGCAGAGCCCCGAGCGGCTGTTTGCAGGCATTCACACTTCTGTCTCCACATGTGCAGCCGCCACCGGTCCAGATCGAGAGAACGGCGGTCCCGCTCGAGGGACAGAGGCCGAGGGGGCGGCCGCGACCACGAGAGACGGCGCTCCAGAGACAGAGAGCGCTCGGGACGATTCTGAGCCACAAGCCACGACTCCTCTCTCCCCAAATCCATCCCCATCTTTTTTTTTAAGTTTGTATTCTGTCAGATCTGTTCTGAGAATATCAGAAAGGTGCCCAGTTTTTAAGCTGTGAAAGCATCGAGGGACTCATTTTTTAGTTTTTTTTTTTTTTTTTTGTCTTGATTTCTGAATTGACTTACACCTCATTAAATTTGAAATTTGTACTTAAAATACAGACTAGTGATTGTTATTCTTTCCCAAGCATTTGTCTCAAAACTTTTAATGAACGATCCTTTGAAGAGCATTGGTGGTTTAGATATCCGTCTGTTGGGAGATTACTCTGTCTCAATCCCCAGAGGGGAGAAATCCACTCCTCTGTGTGCAATGGAAACATTTTGCGACCTGAAGCAGAAGAACATCTGATAATCCCGGAATGCTCCGAATGCCAGTGATGAGTCCAGTGTACATTCTGACATACTGAACTGACAAGCTCATCGTTAACTATCAGTAATGACTTGGAAGTTCACATGGCTTTAAAGTTATAAATGTGTGTTCATAGAATAGCGTTAATTTAGACCTTTTATACATTGATAAATAACTTGCTATGTGGAAAAATAACCCTTAAGTAAAATAAGTAATGATACTTTTTGCAAATGGGAAATAAAGTCGCACAACAGATTGTTGGCCAAAACCCACTTTTTGTCGAAAGTGTGTGTATCTGCTGGGACCTTTTTGGGGGTTGGATTTTGCTCACCCCACCTCCAGCCAATATCCCAGTCCCTCACGCTGTGGCTCTGGGCCGAGGTGCGTGATCACACTCCAGGCCCCGCCGCAGAATGGAATATCTTGGAGCTGAAGGGCTACGAGGAGGAGAATATTCATTTAATCTAACGTGTGCGTTTTTGGATGGTGGGAAGAAGCTAGGGGGAAGTTTTTTGGGGGGATAAAAAGTTAAAAACAGGTGTATTTTGATTGTTCTGTTGTGCATAATTAGTAAATGAGAAATCGCCGTATCTTTTATTTTCTATAAATGCTTGCAGACAGGTTTGCCATATCCTGATGGTCTTTATGAGAAAATGCCTTATTCATTGATCTCATTTCAGATTGGATTTATGCAAGTTATCAATTAGTTTTAGTTTTTTTAACATTGAATCGAAGCTGTGTAATTTTCTTATTTTCAAAATGGAAACTATACATCCCTTAATTTGCTAGTGAGAAAGTTAGATAAGATCAATTTCGAAGGTGTGTGTGTGTGTCTGTGTGTGTGAGTGGGCAGAGAGGTCACTTCAGTTCACAGGAATTAGATGGAATGTGGGGGAGTGAGAGGGGTCCATCCATCTGCAGTCTCATACAGGAAGATAAGATTCAGTTTCACCCAGGAAGATAAGATTGACATAAGAAAGATTGCAAAGTCGCATATTCATGCCTCTAGAAGTGAAAGTTCTTCTTATTGAAACAAAGACGCGATAAATCCCAAATGTTTAAAAGCTTTACAGGTTGTAATTTGCCCCCATTAAACAGCATGTATACCACTACCATGAGAGACCGTTCACAGACAGTTTGTATGCTGTGCAAAATTATCTGAATAACTTCAAATGGGGACTCAACATTCACACAGCAAATCTTGATAGGAGAGCAGCAAAACAAACCTCGGATTGACTGTACAATTAGAAAAAAAACAGGATTACAAATCACGAGAAGATTTAATCGTGCAAATAAAAAGATAAAGCAAAAATAAAAATGCAGCACCAAAATTTTAAAAGGCCCGGTGTAGTTTAGAAAAACAAGTGAGGCAAAAAATATGCTAATTTTTTAAAACCACTATGCGTTTCTCATCAACTGAAAACAATTGTCTGCATAGTTTACGCCAGGATTCTGCACGGGATTTCATGGAGGGGGACAGGGGACTCTGAAGCCCCCATCTTGAGAAAAACTAAGAGTTTTGAAACTCACATCATCACTGAAAATAGAGCTGAATTGTTCAGACTAATGTAACGTAATGTATCGATGGCCAATAAAAACGCTGACCGCTGGAGCTGTGTAAATTATTTCTTGAATTAGAAAAGTTGCTCCCCCCTCACAAATTGCCTCACAGTGGTTTGGCCCCATGCCTGGGGGCCCTGGGAGTGCCTTTGTTTGGACCCGTTCTGAAAGTGTGCCATTGGTGCCCCACCTTGAGTAAGTAGTATATTTTTGTATTTTCTCTCAAAATAAACTTAAAAACAAAGAATATATCAGCAATTTTTGCTTAGAAAATTTTGATTAAAAGAATTTCTAATTCATTGCATTTTGAATGTCTTCACGCGACTAAGTTTAAACATAGGAATGTTGACACAGAGCAGCTGGGTCCCTTCATTCATGTCTTTCTATGGAGGAGGACCAAAGAGGTTCCGTGCACTATTAAAACCACCACAAATCTCTAAAAGTTCAACTTGTATGTGGTTTGGATTGGCTTATATGTACTAACTTTAGAGTTTTACTTTATTACTGGATTTCATTCAATCTAACAGTTTCGTTCATTTTAAGAATTATACTCTGAACTCATGTTATGTCAATAGTTGTTCTTCTAAATTCTTCTTCTTCCTATGAGACATTAGATACACCTGTTCGAGGGCAACGCTCACACACACACACACTTTTTATCACATCTCAGTGGAATCTGCATGGATTGAGAGCCGCCCTGATCATGTCAGAGATTTCTGGCCAATAAAATTGGTTGTGTCCAGACTTCCTTCTGTACTGGGCAGGCCCAGCCCAAGAACATAAATGTCCATCACAACCGAAACCCAGGGCTCTTTTCTGACAGAGATCCTCGGGGAGCTTTGTCAGTTAGACCCAAGCGCTGATACATGTGACCTTGAAAAAAATCGACTTTTTTACCCTGATTATTTTTCCGGTTTATTCTTAGGCTTCTAATAAAAGAATTGGGCTAACAAGCGGTGCCGTGACCCGAATTGGCTGACTCTGTGACTGTGTCTGAGTGCGGACCACCAGAGTCCATCAGAGGAGACTCTTATTCAGACAATTTCAGGCCTGCAATTAAAAGGTAAGCAGAAAACCTTTTTTACATCTCATTTCTGCACATTGGCTATGGAAACAAATAATATCAACAAATGCTCTGAACAAGATGTCTCTTTGAATGGTTAAAATATTATTTTTAAACTGGTTGTGTTTTTCTGAAGTGTTCACATTTTAAGTATAAAACACATAGCCTCACACGAGGGAAAGAGAATAAGTGTCCTAGTTCAGTTTAAATTGGCTAGATTGGGACAATAGGAGGTCACAAATTACACGGACATGTTCTTGGGTTAGCCCGACGCCGGGAGAAAGTTAGTTGTCCTGATGCCTCATGTGGAGATATTTATGTAGAGATACAGGGATAAGTTTGTTGTTTTGCACTGGTTTGAGTTAAGATGGTGTGGAGCACCAACAAATTATTCAAATGGTACCACTTTAATTGTCAATAATACGGTGAAGATTTAGATAAAATGTTCTGGAGAAGAGTTTATTTGTTGTTTGAAATAACCCAGTCAAATGCTCACTAAACCTCTGTGATTGTGAAATCTTTCGTATCTCCCTGCAGGTGAGACATGCCGTCTGTTTCCGGTAGCACCGGCTCAGAAGGCGGCTCAGCTCTTTGTCCACACGCAACTGACCTGATAGGGGCAGGAGCTGCTCCAGATCCAAGGTCGTCCACTGTGGCTGTAGTGGGCCAAATCACCACCACTGGCCATAGGTCGCCTGAGAACGGAGGAGGGGACCGTTTCAATGTCGGCGACGAATCTCACAAAAAGAGTGGAAAAAACGGGGAGGGGGAGCCGAACCACGGCGAAGGTCCTGATCAGACCAAATGGATCCGCCCAGATCTGGCCAGCAGATGCACCTGGCAGCCGGGCGCTCCCATTTCAGAGTCGCCTCACAGCCAGCCAGGACGGTAAGTCTGTGAAATATGATAGAACCAAAAAAACAATGCTGGGTCTGTGTTTTTTAAAGCCCTTTTAACATTAAGTGTTCTTTGTGAAAATGAGGGCTTTCTCTCAGCCTGAAAGCACCACATTGGAATAATATCATATTCTATCTGTACAAATGAGAGACAGACAAAAAAATTGTGGAATGATCCATTGATGGGTGGGATGAAGACTATTTCCATGGTTTATTATCTCTTACATCACAGCATGAAACCACCCAGCATCCTTCCCAACATCCTCGGCCACATTGGATACACCCCGATGGTCCGCTTGAACAAAATCCAAAAGGAGTTTGGGCTGAAGTGTGAGATTTGTGAGTACAGGCTTGTTACATGTGACACATGAACATATATACACAATGCAGGATTTATATTTGGTTTATTTTCTTCAACAATTGCTTTGCAAAAAAGAAAAAACTCTCTGCAAGCATAAATGTACCTTAATGTAAATTGATAAGGAATCTATAAATGTCTGATTCTCTAGAATTGAATAAAAATAAAAGACTTACAAAATCTGGAGAAATGTGGGTGCACTAACATGAAAATTTGATTGAATTTCCCATTGCCATATAAAGCCTGTCTGAGGACATAAATAGATAAAGAATTCTAATTTTTTTTAATCTGAAGCCTTTGTTTGACTCCATATAAATGTCTAGAAATTATATAATTTACACGTCTTTATGATAGAATTTAATAGTCATTTTTTTTGCAAAACTACAAAAAAGGGGGAATATTCTACATAAAAGTATTTTTTTAAGCAAAGCTTTTACGGCATGATGATGCAGTAGGATACATGTGGCGCTAAAGGGTAAAGCTGCGTGTTGGGAAATGTTTCACTGAAAACACTGTCTCACTGTTTGCTTCTTGCTTACCTTCATAAATGGGAGTATCATGTGGCTGGTGGCCCTATGCTGGTCACTGCCTGACTGTTGGGGGATTGTTTGGGAAGGCTGGGGGCTCTCATGAATGGAGAGGTAAAAGTGAAACACTCTTTGTTCTTTGGGCCGAGAAAAAGTAAAAGAAAAGAAAAAAAACCCACTACTAAAACACAGTTGCCTCTTGTAAGAGGATCTGAGCAGCTGTCTCGCTTCTCATTTTACTGCAGCCCACCCAAATCTTTCATTTGTGTCTTGTTGTGCAGTTAGATCATAATTATTGTCATTGATTAATCATTTTTCGTTAATAATTTACTTTTTTTTTTTAATACAAGGCACAGTTGAGTCAGAAAAAAATGTAAACATAATAAACATTCATGACATGCCCACAGTCAGTATTCATATTAGCAACTCCTCCCCTTACCTTTGGGGGATTACGATGCTTCTTTCTTGTGACTAAAGCGATAGAGATGAATAACACTTCCAGACAGACTTTGAATGCCCTTTGGGATTTATTTTCTCTTTGACACCTGCGTTTAGTGGCAAAGTGCGAGTTCTTCAATGCAGGAGGCAGCATTAAAGACAGGATCGCCCTGAGGATGGTGGAGGACGCTGAGAGAGCTGGGATCCTCAAACCAGGAGACACCATCATTGAGCCCACCTCTGGAAACACAGGTACTTTAACAGAGCTGTGGTCAAACGTTCCGAAAGCCCCTCTCGTGGCTCCATTACCGGCACAATGACAGACCATGCAAAACGTCTCTTTCTCGGGCTTCCTGCAGGCATAGGCCTCGCTCTCATAGCCGCTGTCAAAGGGTACCGCTGCATTATTGCCATGCCCGAGAAGATGAGTATGGAGAAGGTGAGTGCCTCTCCCTGAGCGTGACTTTTCTTTAATCCCGTGAAGGAGGGAGGTCCCGCAGCTGATCTTGCTTTGTCGTCCAGGTGGATGTGCTGAGGGCTCTGGGGGCCGACATCGTGCGCACACCTACGTCTGCTGCTTTTGACTCACCAGAATCTCACATACGCACAGCCTGGCGTCTGAAGAACGAGATCCCCAACTCACACATCCTCGACCAGTATCGGAACGCCAGCAACCCCCTGGCCCACTACGATACCACCGCTGAGGAGATCCTGGAGCAGTGTGACGGTTGGTGCTATTTACATTCGGATATGCAAATCCCCAAATTTTAGGATAAAGACAATGCCAAGAGATTAGACTACAGATTCTGGGAGCAAATGAGCTTGTCTGGGGTCTAGACACCTTTTTTTAAAACTGAGAAGTTACACTTCCACTTCAGGCCCAAAGAGCTTGGAATAAGTTATACCTCACGCAAGGGCCTTTAGAAGCATGTAATACTTTTAAGAGAAAACAACTTTTCACCTTCATAGTTAATTAATTGTTGAAACCTCTGCTGTAGTTCATAATATCTGCTTCCCAATTTCACACTTCCTTCTTCAGTGTGAGTTGTTGTCCAGCCACAGTGACAAGAAGAGACATCTATTGTTGTTAAACCAGACCTATGTTCCTTAATTTACTCAGTACTTAAGACATCACTTGAAATAAAAGAGACCCAGAAATTATCGTTTAGGTCCACGCCTATTTATAGGATGCTAGGAGCTTGGCTTGGGAGGTGAAGACCTTTGGATAATATGATCTGTGGAGAAGTCGTCATCGTCATCAAAATGGAAGTGTTTTACCTTCTAAAGTCAGAGAGGAGTGTGTGTATCTTAAGTTTGCTAATTGTAAACGACATTAGTTACAAACTGAAATTGTATATAGATGGCATGTAAATATATTTCATGCTGTGAATGATTAATTGTGAATCTCTTTGAGCCAAGGGGAACAAAATCCTGTTTCCTTTCAGGAAAATTGGACATGCTGGTGGCCGGGGCGGGCACAGGTGGCACGCTCACGGGTGTTGCTCGAAAACTGAGAGAGAAGTGCCCCAATGTCAAGGCAAGCACACATCCTGCTGTGGTTCAGAGCCACACATGGCATGGCCCCACCGTGTTTAAAGACAGCTTTTATGTAGTTTTGGTAATTCTTATTCTGCTGTCTCGTTTCTTTTTAGATAGTTGCTGTGGATCCTGAAGGCTCTGTTCTGTTAGACTCAGAAGAAAGCAATGAACATGCTCATTTTGAGGTGGAGGGCATTGGTTATGACTTCGTCCCCACTGTATTGGACAGATCTGTGAGTGTTTTTGTGTGCATATTATAATAGATAATAGCGCCTCATACATTCCAGATTAAAATGGAACTGAGGTTTTCCCCTCCATCGCAACTCTCTGCAGGTTGTGGACATGTGGTACAAGTCCACCGACATGGAAACATTCAACATGTCACGCAAACTCATCAGAGAGGAAGGCCTTCTCTGTGGTAAACAAGCTTTTTTTCTAAGTTGGACTGTGTAGACAACCCAGTTCCAATCCTCAAGTGGTGCAACAAGCTCTTGGTGCCTGGCCAGGCTGCAAAGGGTGTGGGTGTGTCCTTCACATCTGTAGCTCACACTGACTCTAAATGGACTGAGTGGACTTTGTTTGGCTGCAGGTGGCAGCTCTGGTTCAGCCATGGCGGCGGCGGTGAAGATGGCCCAGCAGCTGGAGGAGGGGCAGCGCTGTGTGGTCATTCTGGCTGACTCTGTGCGCAACTATATGTAAGAGGCTAACGACATCTTGTGCCTCAGAACATTGTCAGAACGCATCAAATAAAATGACTGCTCTGTCAACTGAGCATGAATTTCTTATGTATCACCTGAGAAAGATACATTCAGATCAAGAAAAGAGGACCGCCATCCTCTTCATACCAGTCCAGATGTTTTAAAGCTAAAAACAGTGCCGGGCAAAGGTAGAGGTTTGAGTTGAAAAAGATTTCAACCTAAATCAACCAGTGGGAGCAGAACTCCTGCTCCATTCTACTGGCATGACTGTGCTTGAAAAAATCCTAGCAAGAGCAGTTTTGTTCTAAAAATAATTAGAAACAAAGTTTTGGGAAGTACGTCCAATCATGGCTTTCAACCTCAATGCTTTATTTGACCCCAGGTCAAAGTTCCTGAGTGACCACTGGATGCGTGAGAAGGGCTTCCTCCTCCCCGAAGCCCAGATGGACCTCAAACCCTGGTAAAAGAAAATAGATAAAAGACTGATCAACTAATCCGGTGGAGCCTAATACTCTGTTTGTCCTGCTCTCTTTAAGGTGGTGGAACCTGACGGTGCAGAGTTTAAACCTGCCCCCCCCACTCACTCTAGCACCATCTCTGTCCTGCCGGAATACTATTGCGATCCTTCGAGAGAAGGCCTTCGACCAGGCCCCAGTCATCCACGATTCAGGGCATGTTCTTTTTCAAGAAAGTCTCTTCAAGAGGCATTTCTATATATGAATGCAACGTTTTGATGCCAGCCCCCTCAGCAGGGAGATCTCAGCAGGTTCAACATAACGTGAACAAAGACACTTAAATTAAATGAGTTCAGCGTGAGACAGGCTAAAAAAGGCTGAGACACTTTCTCTGAGTGTTAGATTAAAATCATAAACATTTTTGAAACGGACTCTCCTTTGGTAAAATCTAATTCCTTGTGCTCTTTTTTTCTGAATCAGGCATCATGAAGAGTCTGAATCTCAAAATATGTGGTGATTCAATTACTCTCTTGTGCCATTCTGCAGCACAATCTTGGGGATGGTGACACTTGCGAGCATTCTGTCGTCCGTGCACGAGGGGAAGGTCTGTGTTTCGGATCCTGTGAGCAAAGTTATCCACAAAGACTTCAAGCAGGTCAGTCCAAGCGAACACACACAGACTCTTCCATGGCACGGACACCAAACACGCGACGGCCACTGACATGGCTGGAAAGGTAACCCTTTTTTCCCCCTCAATCTTCTCATGCAGGTGCACCTGACAGACAACCTGGGGAAGCTATCCTGTATCCTCAGTGCGCACAACTTTGCCCTGGTGGTGCACGATCACACCCAGTGTAAGAGACATTTCACAGAGAAACGCAAAACAATTTACACTCTCAGTCTCAGCTGAGGCAGAAACAGTGCTCTGCACAGCTGGAGAGAGAACAGGAAACAGGCTGCATAAAAGAAATAGAAATCTAAAGCTCTATTGTTCACAGTTGCAGACAGATCCTATGCAAAGGTCCATGTTCTGCCGTGGACATACAATATATTGCTCACACAACACCATAATAAGTCCAGTCTTCTGTTTCTGTCCAGATGAGGCTGATGGGTCAGTTTGCCAGAGGAAGACGGTGTTTGGAGTCGCGTCAGCCATCGACCTTCTCAACTACATCACCGCAAACGAGGGGCAAGCCTGCCCCCCACCCAAATGCTCACCGTCCAACAGCGTCTCCCTCGTTCCCGTTTAGGACGTTGACATCAGCTCCCGCTCACCAAGAGACGGAGCATGATCCCCTGCTGTTCAGCCTCACGTCCTCTTAGAAAGAAACCTACTCTTTGACAATGAGCCCTATGAAGATTTTAGTTCTGTGATATGTTTCTTCATCTCAATGAATCGTCCCCAGTCATTCCGTTTGTCATGCAGCATTAAACGGGCATTTTTTAGCCTTTTTTTAAAAGGTGCACCTACTTATGGGGGAAGAGTTTTCAATCCTACTTCCTCAGCACTGACTCAGGTCTTTAATATAAAAAAGTCATATATAGCTTTTATTAACAATAAGGGAAAAGTCTAAACATTTTAATATATCTAAGATACTTGAGTAGTTAGCAATGAATAAGGATAATGGCAGGTGATAAACGCTGTCAAACTAGTCATTCTAAACACTTTAATGATAATGTATTTGTGCCTTAGATCTAATGGATCTTCTGTATTTTTTCAAACGTTGTTGGGCTTTCAGGTATTGTTAGTCAGTTGAATGATTTGTGTCTGATGTCTGTCCTCTGGTTACCTGGAATTCGTGTTTGTTTTGTTCAAATAATAGCCTGTGAAGAATATATCTGACCGAAAAGTACATTTTTAACTAATCCTAAACTAACCATGTCATAGAATTTAGTATATTTCATTGTAATTCTATACACAAGAACCTCAGTTTAAAAATAAATTTGAATTTAGAAATAATTTAAAAATAAATGAGCACATCTTTCAATCAAGATGCCTGATAGTTTGGGTTATGTCTTGTCTTTTCTGCCCATGTTTCGCAAGTTTCCTGGTTTGGTTGAGTTCATATTCAAGCGTGTGCTGCTGCTCTGTAAATGTAAGTGCCTCCATCTAGTGTCTAAAAAAAAAAGACTTCAGCTGTTTTAACAGCAATAATTGAGCTCATTAGACATTTGCAAACCTGAATTAGTTTAAATCTCCATTCAGAGTAAACATGAAAACACATAACAAGGCAATCTGTTAGCTCAAAGCTTTATGTTCAGAAAACCTTTCTGCTGCTTGGTTAGAAGACTGCCTCATTTGGTCTCATTCCCCATTTGGCACAACCTCCATTTAACAGCTGAAATCTTAGCTCCTCTGATTAGTAAAAGAGGTAATGAAATACAAAGGTCATTAATCATTCATTTTAAAATTAATCCTTACTTGAAATCTGTTACTTTATTGTCTATCATAGCATCTGTTTGTTGTGGTCTGCAGAAAGAGTGTGTTGTTATCATATACTTTCTGATCTATCTCCCAATATGTTATACAGGGCAGAGCTATTGTGAGCGGAAGCAGCTAAGTGTGGTAACCCAGGAGAAGGAAGTGGAACTGATCAAGAGAACCATCTGGTTTATTTCCAGATCCAAGTCAGGAAAAAGAGGAAATGAAGGGGGAATGAGGGTGCAGTTAGCCCAGTTAGTCTTTTCCTAAACTATTTCCTGCAACGTCTAACCTTCTTTTGACTAAGCACCAAGGAAAAAGTGACTCTGATGCAGGGAAAATCTGGTCACGCCTACACAATTAAGTTATTTTGAACAAATGTTTTAAGCTGACGGGCGGCACGGTGGTGTGGTGGTTGGCACCATGGCCTCACAGCAAGAGGGTTCTGGGTTTGAGTCCCTGGGGGCACCGGGACCTTTCCGTGTGGAGTCTGCATGTTCTCCCTGTGTCTGCGTGGGATCTCTCCGGGTTCTCCGGCTTCTTCCCACCGTCCAAAAACCTGCATGACTGGACATTACAATTTGCCCTTGGGAGTGTGTGTATGGGGTTGCGTGGTTGTTTGTCTCTGTGTGTCTCTGTGTGGACCTGCGATGGACTGGCAGACCGTCCAGGGTGTACCCCGCCTCTCGCCCATTGACCACTGGGTTAGGCTCCAGTCCTACCCATTAGGGAATAATAATGTTTGTTCCTTAGTTCCTTTCCAAAGATTTAAATCTAAATAGCTGTTTAATCCGCCTTCAATTCCTTCTTTTTCACACAGGAAACACCAAGAATGGGCTACTCAGCAAAATAATTTTTTCTTAGAAAATATAATCTGTCATCAGAGGTTCTGAATATTTAGTTTGGACGAATATAAACTGTCACGTGCAGTGACAAGCTAGACCAGGAGGAGGCAGAAAAGACCAACGCTGCAGAGGTGCTGTGAGTGGGACTGCCTATGGGTAACATTTGGAAGTGTTGAGACCTGACAGTAGCCAGTTTGACCGCCACATATTTTGAGATCCAGACTCTTTATGATGCCCCTATTCAGAAAAAAGAGGCAACTTAGTAGCCTGTGTGAAGAATCCTGATGACACACTCATTTCCATGGTTTATGTTGAATGGTCTAAACAGGATTCCTAATTCAGAGCTCCTCTTTGAATTGGCCCTTGAGGCCAACATTACTATCAATAAACAGATACATTATACAATGAAGGCCTGGAGAAATGTTGTTTATAAAAGGTCTACAAGTACCTAAAGACTCTAAGGACTGCAAATCTTAACATTTAATGTGCCAGATATTCTGTTTCAGTTTTTCTTTGACTGATTCCTAATAGCATTCTTGCAACACTTCACCTAACTTAGGGATATGTGAAATTAGAGAAGCCTTATGCTCCATTCTCCAAGCCTTGTCTGTCCCAGTTTATGATTCACTGGAACGGGTTTGGATTGTCACCACATCATCATTTCCTGATGAGGAACCGTTTCAAATAACAGCTCCAGTATCACTGAGCGCTGGCTTCACATAGAGGTCACACTCATTGGAAACCGTAACCATCAACCATTATTATCCATTATTTAACAGGGCGGCTCTACAGGGGCAGACCATGTAGCATAGATAACCACGGACGTCACATCGCTCCGTCCCTGTCTGTCCTCTTTGCCTCACAGGGCCGTCGGATCTGTCATCATCAGCAGACAAGGAAAATATCCCAAGATGACCCTGGTCACTTTCAAATGGATTTATGCTGTCTTTTAAATCCCATAATTCCTACTTAAAGTATATGTTCATTTTGTGTCTCACCACAGAGAGCTATCTTTTATGAAACACACACAAAGAAGAGTTTGAGACATTTATTTTCCATTGATACATACGGGTGCATTATATATATAAATGTGTGTGCGTGTCATTTTACATGATGAATATGTGTGGCTACTGTTCACTCTCTGGAAAACAAGCACTCCACCTACTGCCTGTTCCTCTACAGCGTTTTATTCTCACTTAAAGGGTTAAAGGGAATTTCTTTTTTTCTCGCTGAGACTGCGATCACGCCTGTTTGATTTGGAAACAGGGCTAGACTGGCCACTCTTTGATGTAATAAGAAAATGAAATGATTGTTGAAAGTCACCTGAAGCATCTCGCGTCGCTGTGAGTGTGTCACTGACAACAAAGTCAGTGGATTTGAATTAAGAATGACGCAGGACCAGGTACGTCTATCGCATTCTTTCAAAGCGTCTTTTGCCTCCTGAGAATAACAACAGATTCAGAGGGTAATTATGTGCCCGAGGCCCTGTTCTTTCTGGATACGGCTCAGTAAGTCTGAGTTTGAAGTCTCTAACCAATCAGTTGAAGAGTTCATGCCACACCATGAGCAGAGTGAGTCTTTGGGGGCAATAAAGACCTTAACAAGCAAAATGTGAGTCTGTGCTACAGTGAAACACCCCTTGGGGGAAATATTTTGAATAGAGACATATAACGCTACAGCAGTGGGGTGGAGCAAGGTGAATCTATTTGATCTGGGCAAGGAGTAATATAGGTTTGCAGATATGGATTTTATCAGAATGAATATGAATATAACAAGAATTTCTGCCTTTCATACTAACTGAATAGCAAAAGCTTGAAAATAACAATTTTCTATTTTTTGTTTTGTTTTTTTGTTTTAGAAATGACAGCTAAAAACTTTATTTGCTTCTCTCCTTGTAGGATGGGACTAAAATCTATCTATAGGTAATACGTTTAGATTAAATACACATCTTACAGTACATGGCTTTGAAACAGAAGATAACATACATTTGGGAATAAAGAGGTAGAAACTAGAAAAATATGAAAATGTACCGGCAAATCCTTCTTACAAGAAACACTGTGAGATACATTTTTCGAAAAGTCAATGAATGTAGGCCAGATGGGATAGACTCCTGAAATCCAGGGGTCATGAGGTTTTGTCATGTGTCTCTGAAGCTCTTAGGCTTGTTTCATCTCACTTGCTCCGGTGACATTTAGACATTTGCATGACTCAGCTGGGTTTAGGTGGTCATGGGTCAGGCCAACATGATGTTTTCTTTGACATTTAGATCCTGTTACAGTTAAACAATTACCTTTTTTTTACTACCATCACATTTGTTGTTTTATTCATTCTGCCATTACTTCTCTGGGCCAATCATTTTCTCATCTGTTAATTTTTGAGCTAACAACCGTGGTACCTGTTCTTTAAATTTATCTTCCATAATTTTCCCTGTGGGCTGATTTTATTGCAAACCCCCATCTCCACTGATTGAGATGGGGGCCATGAGTTTTAGTTACGTAAAACCAAACTAACTACAATAGATTAAAAAACTTAACTGAAAGTAGAAAATTCATGTCAAAACAATTTTAAAGAATGTCTTTTCGTGCCAAAGTCATGACCCAACTTTTTTGCTTTTGGCAACATAAATCAGATAAATTAGATATCAAGAATCTACAATCGAATTGTTTTTTTCTAGTTAAAACATTAATACCATAAGATGGCCTCTCATAACAGTTCACCAACAGGGGTTTGCATGGCTTCACTTTTGAGAAATGGACGCCAAGATGCACAATCACGTGTTGCTTCTTTTCAGCAAACATTTTATTTATTCATTTCTTATCCGAATCTTATTGAAACAGCTCTGAGAGATGATTGTAGTGAATAAACACTGGATGAGATGGTCTGGGGCTTTTTTGAAACTCTAAATCAGCTCATATCCTTCCCATTTTTACATTCAGTTTTCTCATCATGCCAACTTGTCATCAATGTCGTTATCTCTTTATTTTCCATTCCTTTTCTGTCTTACTTGTCCTTCTGCCCCTCCTTCTGCTGTCAGCCCTCAGTGTATAAAACCACTGATCCTCAACCTTATCCAGACTGACCACTTTCCGAGCTCGCGTACGTAATCAGACAGCGTCAGGCTGTGGCTGCATGCGAGCACACACACAGTCTGAGCCCAGCATGTGGGCTTTTAAAAGATGCAGCAGATACTCTCTGATTGCTCACAAGTATGCACAAACATCATAGAACACTTACACCTATCCACAAATGAGCATAACTCTGTTGAAAACACATATATTCACAATTGTATTCCTATTAATGTCCAAACAAGTTAAAACACAAGTTTCATTAGTCCTATGGGTCCACGTTAACTAACAAAGCTACAAGCACACTTTCACTTTTATTTTCCCCTCCAACACAGGACATAGCAAACCATCCAATAAGATGTTCTAAAACCTAACATATAAAACAAAAAAAAGCTAAATACTATCAGACTTCCTAGTGCAAGAACATGTTTCTACATCGAATATGTTCACTTAACAGTTTGAGTGTTTGTGGAATCAGTTTTTCAACATTTTTCTGGTCATTCCGTTCTCATGATTATGATGAAATCTGCTCTCCGATTAGCTTAATTTCAAATCAGATGCTGTGGTCCACTTGAAAGACCCAATCGATGTGCCTTTCAATAGTCACTGCACAGTGCCATGAACACAGGGAACACACACATGCGGGTGCGAATGACACGTCTCTGTCAAAGAGATGCAGGCTGAGCAGTATCAGTTTCTGAGCCAGTGCACAGCGGCTGTCAGTGACGGAGGCCTTTCGTCAGAACTGTCCCCTGGCTACCCTGCCAGCTCTGCTGGTGCGGCCCATCACACCTCCCGG